GGCCGCATTTGGACACAAAGATCCCAGTAAAGGGCCTCAAAAACTCGTACTACTATTTTTTATGTAGCGCTACGCACTGTTTGCGATGCCTGCCAAGCATGCAGACTGCCAATTCTTCCGGTCGTAACAACTCGTATCGTGATCGTCGGAAGCGAGACTATTTATTTCCTTCTATTCCGTCTGCCTACGCGCGCAGACTCGGACATCACACGTGTGCCAGTCACCGCTAAACGAACATCATCGTAGGATGATATGTCCACGTCAACACGTCGAGACCCGAGAAGGAGAGGCACATACCCCACACCTGCCAACCGATGTAAGACATCCGCTCTCCCCGCGATTATGGAGACACGACAATACCCCACATCGAACTATGTAATCCGAGTCCGAGTCAGCTGACCTTGTGACGAGATAGCGGCAGATGGGAGCCGGGACTCTGCCAGATCAGCTGCGTCACTTTCAGGCACTGATACATGCCCCGTATTTTTGAAACATCATGATGGGTCACGGGCATGCACCGCGTTACACTCAGAGACTCAGCTAAGCTAGCTCCGGTTATATGAAGCCTTGGCATTGCTAAGCCCCTATGAGAGGGATTGACAGACACTGGTCTGGCTTGTGAAGTCTTGGTGTTTTACTCAGCCACCATTTCCTGGAATCCCAAGTCAGTCATTCACACAAATATTATACACTGACATATATACGCACCTCGAGTCCTCTAGCAGAAATACCGCTACAACCCCACGCGTATGCTCACGGGTCGTGGCATCATCTGTTTTCGGATGATGATCCGCCGTGAAAGACCTTCTGTTTCGAATTTGCCAAGGACTATCTCGTGCGATCTGGGCAACATGTTTGATAGCGATCATTCTTCTTGATCATCATGCTGGCGGGGGTGTGTGGGCACCTATGGCTGTAAGACCGCGCTGTACCTACTAGGCTCCGCCCCATTCGTCACCGACAGATCATGTTTCCTAAAGTGGCTATGTAGTCGGAGTTCTCTGCAGACTGCGCGGGGCATTGCCAAGGTGTGCAGGTCAACGCGTCCCATTCTGCGGTGGCTGAATTAGTGTTCTGTGCCGTTCGAAGCCTGCACGCAATCCGCTCATCAAAACATTGAACTGAAACGGTTTCAAATACCGGATACTGTGACAAGTTGTGCATTCAACCAGGTGACAGGATAATGCCCCCGGTCACCGTTACCGTATCGATAGCAATCTCGAGACGCTCATTGACACGTGCACATATCGTAAGGTTGGATGGACTGGTGAGCTGGTATGACTCCTGAGCTGAACGCCGCGATGAGTGAGTAAAAGTCTTAATTCCCGATCCGATGATGTCCCCCTCTTGTGCGATCTATTCAGTTACATTTGTCATGTGTACATAGTCCTAAGTGTTTCTTGGCACTTGGCACGTCATCATTCTCCGATTCTGGTATGATAAAAAAGTGGTGACTTGCAGGAAAGGGTCATGCCTTGAGGCACGGTAGCTATCATAACTCCAACTCGGAACTCAGGCCCGACACAATGAATACAAACCTTGAAAGGGCAAAGACCCCTAGGGACCAAACCATGACAAATAAGCGAAGCACAGCTGTTGTCATTCCTGAACTTAGTTTTATCGCTTCTTCGTGGCAAATATCGTTGAAACCGTTGATGGAGTCCAAGCTGTGAGCTCGCCCTTGTGAGGTGTGCGACCCCCTATGGTCGGCATTGTTAGGTGCGAAGCTTTTAACATGCATGAAACCCTCTTGTCAGACTGCCCCTTTTAGCAACCGTCCCCCGGAGACCAAGACGCGTCATGTCGTAAAGTACTGAACTTTAATCACTAGGCTGGTTACTCCCTAGCGTACGCCAAGCATACGCACCAACTAGAGTTAATCAAGGGCAATAATATAGACGCGCAATCACGTTGCCATGTACGTATCTTTCTGAGACGAGTCCTCAGAACGACGCGCGCAGCATCGTCTTGCAGGTATCATTTCGTAACGACCCCCCGGCGCGTGCCTTATAAAGGAATGCACGACTGAACTCGAAAGACCAATTATGATAAGGCCAGTGAGAAACATAGAAGAGAAGAAGCCATCAAAGAAGTCTTGATGACCTGAGGTATCGCAAGTCAGGCTGGAATGCTCCTCGGAGTATACGACCTTGGACAGTCCCCGACGATATGTCGACACACGGGCATCGGAGACATCCGCTGGGGGGATTACATGATTCAGGTTTCCTGAGCGATAAGTCATAACGCTGAAACACGATTACGATGGTTCTGCACAATTGGAGTTATCGGAGGCCTGAGAAAGCAGCCGCCCTGCATAGGAGGGAGGACACTCGCAAGGGTCGTCTAATCAATTTGATGAGATAAGGGGCATACGGATGCTACGTACGAAGCCACACACAGATCAATTCGATATCGTTTTGCCGTTATTAAGCCGAGGATGTAAATACGCAGCATAACGAGCTGGCTGGACTGAGCATCGACGACGAGCAAAAGGGGCATCTGCACTCAAAATAAGATGGATCCGGCACTCGTAGAAGATCCGTCCAATTCGTAGCCTCGAAAGTCCACGGAACATCCAGCACATAACTCCGAACCCACGAGAAAGAGCGAGAACGTCGAACGAGCACCAACAGGAGGGATGGTTGAGGACCAATTCAGTAACTGAGCCAAAAATACACTTGCGCGAAGAAAGAAGCCAGCTGGTCGGGTGCCTGGGAGCTACTTGTCCGGTACAAGGTCCAAACAACACCAGGGGTAACCAGCGTTTGTCGTTTCACGAACTGACGGTGACTCGTATAGGTGTCTGCATTTCAAGACCATTCAGCACATCCTCAGCGTTTGTCGTTCCGTCGAAAGCTGAGCGCTGAGCCGAGTCGACTAGCATCCAGCAGATAGATCCGCATACACGCATGTTGGAAGTCGAACTTCTGAACAAGGAGTCGAGCGCCGACAGAAAGGCCAACTCCCAATCCAGTTTTTAACAAAGCCAAAACAAAATCCAGATGCGCACTGGCACTATTGGAAATATATCAGGTATGGGCACCAGAGCAGACAAATTGGAACATGAAACAAAACGTGCGCTTTCCATATCCATTTCTATGCTCTGCGGAAGGAACCCCGCGAAGAAAGAAGAGGCGACAGTCGTTGAGTGGGAAACCCCTGCACTTCGATGCGAGGGCAGGAGACGGAGGTGACCGGGTGTAGGTTGAACGATGTTCTCTCGTCGAGATAAGGAAAAAGGCAACATAGCAGCGACTCGAGCTCGTGCCTACTCTTCAGTTAAATTAGAAAACCCGTTCGACGCAGGTTCGAGTTCCAGGGCATACTTTTGGACGTGAAAGCACGAATGGTTTTTGACGGAGCATCAACTGGAGGGGACCTGAATGTGATGATTGAGCCAAAAATGCCCTTGGTGCCAGAGTTGAATCGAAAGAAGCAAGGCGGCTGGGTGAGAAAACCTTGCCTTCCTCAGTCCACGCATTGGTCTGCCTACGGGAGACCAACGACACCGTGGACGGTAAAATCGAACGACAACCCTCGGTAGTTTTTCATTTGTCGCGTCGGCACGAGGTCCTGAAAGTACAAAGTCGACATACACAGAACATCCATCGGCGTTTCATGTAGCTCGTCTGAATTCACCTATTGAATCGACACAAGGCCCCCAGAGGACGAAGCCAAGTAGAGAGCACCTTGTGGAGCTCGTGGATATTTGGCGTTCCCGAGGCGTCAAGCTTATCTGACGTCAATCAGTGTCGACAACCTTGAAACAGTTTTTGCGCTGGACCTTCGTCAGCCAGAATAGATATCCTAGTTCGGCTCCACACTCCGGATGTTGATGTGGTGCGAGGGGCGCTCGGGGTACCTTGGTAACTCCCACATAGGGATGATCACCGCGGCGCAACGTGGATATTAATGCAAGGACAAATAGATAGATAGAGGACAGGACGAGACGGGAAGATGACGATTACTAGGTGACCCTCGATCTCCTATTCGTTTTATCCATCGATCAACGTGTTTCAAGACAACACCGTGGACCTCCGAGCTAGTGTCAGTGTCACAGAGCTCGACCGTCCTTTGCATACTGGATCCCATCGAGTGGTGGTCATGGTCACAGAGCGGATGAAAAAATCAAAAAAAAAACATCTCCACACCCGCACTGCATGGTGTACACGCGGAACCTCCCGGGCGGAACTTGCGAAAAAAAAAGGAAGGCGGTCGGGGCAGCGCATACGATGCCGATGACGACTCGGATGACGCTCAATCGGTGCTGTGAACGTGGAATGTGGAACCTCTCTGTTATGTGAGCTCGATCTAGGTGCGCCCAGCCAAGGAACACAACAGAATATCGGAGATATCCTGCTACGCGAAGAATAAAACCCCCGTTTCCTAGACCCTGTGGATAGTACGCGAAAAACACCCCTTGCAGGCGAAGAAGAACCCCCGACCTGGTACGCGACGCTGCCAGTGGTACTTATGCGAACAAACCCCTTGAACGCGAGAAAAAAAGACATATGAGTCGAGTCGTGCCTCGTTGCTAACTGCGAAGGCAGCAAGCGGAGCAGAGATCGGCGTTCGTGCACAGATTGGAACCTCGTAGAGTACTGGGCCTAAGGACCCTTGAAAGCTTGATGACTTGTCAGTTGCCTTATGTATTTCGGATGCGCCAAGAGGTCTTGAGTGATAGTCCAAGCTGTGTTAATTGATAGCAGAGAATCAACAATGTGTATGTACATATGATGATTCGGTCCTCGGATGTCTTGGTATTAGATGTACTTGGCCTAACTTGGCGTGGCAGTAGTTTGCTACTATTGCTAGCGATGTCAGGGCGTGGTAGCCTGCGACCGTATCGGTCAAAGACTCTGATTTGATGGCGGGAAAGACGGTGACACCGACGGGTCGATATTCACGATGGGCGTGGGTGTGATGACTGTGACTGTTGTGCCAGCGTTGAAGAGAAAGGCTGAGGAATCCTCGGAGATGTACGCTTGAGGTGATGCAGTCTGATATTCGTAAGATGACTCGGATAAGGTTAATGAAATTTGTAGTCGGACCTAGTCCGAAGGTAAGAGTAAAAAATTAGCGATGTTATCGCGGACTGAAGTCGACAAGGAGGACATAGTAAGTACGTACAGTTAGTAATCGGATTCGGACTCCCCCTATTGAAGTTGGCCGATGACTTCGTAAGCTCGCGACGGTTTTCCATCAGACGTTTTCCGGACCAAAAAGGAGAACTTGGCGTGAACCTAGCGATGACATCGCTTGGAAACAAGAATTCAAAGGGTTTGATTGACAGTAAAAGATGGGACAAGGACAGAGTTGGTTAGATGGTGAAAGTAAGACGACAAGTCTGGGCAGCCAAGTCGATGTTGAGGAAGAAAAGGTACGGAAGAGACCGAGGGTGCCAAGGATGTCGATGAGTAATCATGGATTGTTTACAAAGACAGACAGGTCCGACGTGAGTATAGGCACGATGTAGTACAATGTTCGATGACAAACGTTGCCAGCGTGAGGAATATTATTTTAAGAGGAAGTCGATAAGAAACACGGAAGCAAGTTTTAAATTTCATAATAAGATCCAATTCAAATCTCGATCGATCTGGCCCCCAGAAACCCTTTTTGAATCACTTTATCATTCATTTAAGAGTCCAGGATGAGCGAGGCTTGTTGCATTTTTTCACCCAACAATGATTCGTACTAACAGCATTTTATTGAATTCACCAACGCAGTCACCAAGACTATCCCCTACCGCAACCTATTCCATCTCCTCAAGTAGTTGCTCATCCTCTGACTTGAACCTTCAAATGCAACGTCGTATCAGATTCGCACCTTTACCCAATGACCAGATCACAACAGCAACACCTCCAGCAGCAGTCGATTCAAAACAAAAATCAAAACAAAAATCTCCATCTTCCTTCTTCCGCAGCATTTTCAAACGTTCCCATCCACAAGAAGACGTAACAATCCTTCGTCGCTCCCGCTCTCCACAACCCCATGACTTCGGTGCCCCTCTCACCCGTGCTAATTCAACTCCAATTCGCCAACCAAAACGTTCACCATCATCATCATCAGACTCAAAACCACGCTCTTCGGCAAACTCACTCGGTTCAGGCGGTGGCCGTCATGCAATGCCAATGCCCTCAACTCGTTTCACTACCCCATCTCTACCCACAAAGTCTGCCAGGCGTATGCTTAATGGTCGCGTCTATGGATCAAAACGTCAGCCTCCAGCGAACCCTTTTGCAAATGTACGTGACGAGCCAGAATTCGTAGAATGGGGTTATGGCGGCATGGGAAGCGTGACTGGCAGTAGCGACTCAAAATATTCCGTTCTCGCAAAAGGCGCGCCAGCTCTACTTTCCCATACTCAAGCACAAGTTACCAGAACACCGGTGGAAAGGAATGATGGCGTGGGTGTACCAGCTCCAGATGATGAGGATGATGGGAGTGGCATGGGTTGGGTAAAGAAAAGGAAACTCGAAAGAGAACGTCTTGCCAGGGAGAAACAGGCGGCAGAGTTCACTTCTGCCCTTGATACGGATTCAAGGCGAACAAGCACAGATAGATCCTCCACCATGGACAGCACAAGTACTCGTCTCTCCACTCTCGCTGCTTCTTCAGCTCCTACAACACCTCTTAGCACCACCGATACTCTCCCACCCCAAGATTATATCTTGCAGGCTGTGAGATTGAGTCCTCACCTCAAAAACATCTCTCCCGTGGTCAACACATCACCCTCCTTCACACACCCTGCCATGAACAGCCCAAGCACAGCCAGCGAGAGTAGCAAATATCATCGCCAGGCTCTAAGAGAGGACGACTCGGACGAGAGCGAGGTCGAGCGCGCAGAGGTACGTCTCCTATCTTTCCCTTGTCCTACCCATCTCACCTTCTAATAGGATCGTCGAAAGACGTCCCTGGGTGCTGGAGTCGAAAAGATAAGCAGGCACAAACAAGTCATTCATTGACGGGACTTTAGAGCACCCGCGCCCCGCCTCAACTTCCCCTCCGATACACTTTGCTGTCCATATCGCTTTGCTCCGTTGTTCTTCTTGTGCATATCGTCCATTCGCTCCATTCTCGCCTTCACATCATCGCTCAATCGCTGTACATAGCCTCTTACGCCTCTCTATTCTACCCATCACAGCCCGCTCAATTACGACTATCTTATCCCTGGGTATATCACTCATATCTCTTTATCACACATCCATCCCGAATCATGCATACCATCATGGCGCATACCGCTGTCCCCACCACACCGGCGCCATCTCTTCGACGTGGGATGATGTTTTCTTGGAACGCGGGCTTCCTCGTGGTCTGGAGATTGATTAATGGACGTCTGAGGTACTTCGTCTCCATATCTATCCGCAGCCTGTACTCAAAATAGTTCATCCTTGTAATAGTGCCATTTTTATCCTGGCATCTAGCGTCCATTTAATCCCTCGACTGCTAAATCCATTCTTGATATAGCGCCTTGCGTTTGTTTTGTCACCATTCATATCCGTTCTTATTCGTGTCCGACGTGCAAGGTTGGCGTTAGGCAGAACGAGAACGAGAACCCGGTGTTATCAGTTTCATTCATCTCTGCATTACACCACACCCTAGCACTTTGACTTCTGCCTGCTTGCCGATTTTCGTGGACATTCCCGGGCATTATGATTATCTCCATCAAGTCAAGCGGGGATTCGCTTTGTCCATCAAGTTGGCAATCTCTGTCTATCTCCATCACCATCTTTGTCACTGGGGGCAAGGTTTCGGTTTCGGCTTTATGTTTCGAGCCCGGATTAGCAATGATACCGTCAGCGATGACTTTTTTCGTGTCCCCTGCACCGTAAACTCACCCCTGCATCTCCATGCCCCGACCACTTCGACATCTCTGTCTATCCTCAATCGCCACTCGTCCATCATGTATCTTTCTACTTCTTACTTGTATCCAACAACGATCTCATTGCCTCGTTCACACGGCTACCGGTCCGTACTATTTGACATTGCATAGATCCCAAAGCTTATCGCGCTCGTCTTTGACAGTGCATTTGCATCGCCCCTTCTCGTCTCCGTACAGCAGTGCCGAGAGGAGCCACAATCGCCTGCTCTCCCTCCCGCCTCATTTCACCTCGTGTCGTGCTTTGTTTCTGCTCTTCTTTTCTTTTCCAAACGCTTTATCTCATCTCACTTGACTTTTTTTATTTCATTCCATCATGGACTGTATGTCGCAATGCATTAGTTTATACCCTTCAGCAGTGTAGTTTCGTATCGTCTTTCTTTTGTCTGTTTCTTCTTGTCGTTTCTTTTTGTTATTGGTCTTTTGATGTAGATGTTCTTTGATCTACTTGGGCCAGCCAGTCTGGCGATGGGGTAGGGTGGCGATGTTATAGCATAGATTTCATCACGACGATTAGGTTGCATATTGGTCACATAATATATACGCATACATCACGCTTCGTGCTACCCCGCAGTGCGGGAGGAGATACCGAGCTCAAAAGATGTCCTCCAAGTCTGTATCGATGCACTGCATGACACTTGTAAGGTTTAAATTTGGATGTCGTAAGGTTGAGTTACCTTTGTGATCTGATACAATTGATCGGATCTCAGGCAGGCTGACGCGAAAAGAAGAGCGCCCATATGCACATGCGCATGTCGTGTCAATAGGCCTGGCCATGGGTCTAATATTATCTGCATGCAGGGTACAAAGACATCGAACTCGACTCGGATAAAAGGCGGTGTATGTATTTTCGAGTCGTACTCGATCTATATTAATGATGTCGAGACAAGAACTCAGTGGCGCTCATTCCTCGAGTCTAATATCATGCGTGCTGGCCTGAAACAACTTTTGAACCATGCGCTTTCATACATGTGATATCTATAACTCGAGAAGCAGAAGGTTTCCTACAATAGCTGTAGACGCGAAAAGAAGCAAGCCCGAGTCCGATATTATCTAGGGTAGAGGAAGCACCTGAAATTCAACTTGAAACATCACTACAAAACATACAAAAGTGTACAGTCCATCAGAACGCGCGTCGCGTAAGTTCAAGTAGGGTCGAGAGCGAGGAGCCGCGGTATGTTGATGACGATGGCGCCTGAGACGTTTGGAAAAAATAAAAATAAAATCATTCTATGTCCGACGTGGTGATAAGTTTGGTGGACATTCGAACACTAGTGACAATGACGTGACGTTTTATCAGTTGTTTATTGTTCGTTTGTTCGTCTAGTGCTGCAACTGGAGTTCTGGTAGCTGAGTTGAGAGGAGATTAGAAGGAGTTAAGTTCCTAGATGGGTAAGGAATGCAAGTCGTCACCGACTGTCAGTGCTTACTAGTCGGAAGGCGCACGAGATAGCACATTGGTAGTGTAGATCGCATGCGCGGTGACGTTACTGAATGATATACATGAACTGGTAACGTGACATGGTCAGCCATTGCTGTAAAGTCGAGACGCTAGCGGAGTTAAGGAATTACGGGTTGACGGGCGTGTTAACGGAAGAGTCGTCGACTTCGGCTCTCGAGACCCTCGGGGCGCGTGCTAAAGATAGGTGCTGCTCGTGCGCCAAGTATGTACTAATCGCGAGGCGTTAGGACCCTGAAGTTTGGTTGTCGAGAGGAGAGGGCGTGCACCTCGACCAAGAGGTGATTTGGTGACATGGCATGGTCAGAGATTCATTCGACCAGGGACAAGCTCGGAAATTTGTAGACGAATAGGTGTAAAGTGAGTGGCCAAAGTCACCATAGACGTGAGGGCAGGCAACGTCCAATCCAGAAGCACGAGATAGCAGATTTAGCTGCGTCGGTCGCATGTCAGGTAAAAATTTCGAAGAATTCGAGAGGCGTGCATATATGATGGCAGGGATCAAAAGCCCCTGTCAACATATGTTGACTCTTGAGCAAATCCGGGTCCAGTCCAGAAGCTTACGAGATGGTAGTTCTAGCTGTGTTGGTCGTGTGCCAGAAAATTGCGCATAGGACCCCGGGTCTGGCTCTCGGATCATTGTCTCCCATCCAGCGAACCATTTCTATCCTAGAGGGATTCTTGCCCGAGGAGAGCCTGAAGTAACGTAGCTCGACATATCCGCTCCGTTCGATCTCATGCGCCTATCTGAGCCCCTCAGCGTTAGATTGATGATGCGTAGCCATTTGATGTAGTTTAATTTTTGCGTGGGGTTTGGATGAGGCGGAGGAGCGCTGAGTGATTTTGGCCATTAAAAAATTGGTGGAACCGGTGAGGAATATGCCAGTTCCGAAGGTGGAGTTGCGATGTGGCGCGGATTTTTTTCCATTTGTGGGTTAGGTTTCGGAAGCTATGTGGTAATCCGGCGGCTGAACTTCCGGAGGGATAGGGACGGCGTTCGTATCGCTGGTGCGGGAGGGAACGTACACCGCCTGAACTGACATCCGGTGACGATAAGCAGGCAATACGCCGTCATATGATGGTGAAATTTGGAAAAACCATTATGGGACGCAGGGTTACATACTCACAGGATGGTCGCAACACATCAAGAAAACTTGACCCGTTCCGCAGCACTTTGATAGCATTGCTATGGAATGCCGTACATCCTGTTCATCTAAAGAACAGAAGTATCCCACCAACGCTGCGTTCGATTTGTGGGATTCTCAGGGAATTAGGCACACAGCCTGCCGCTGTCAGAATCTTCGCTGGTTAAGGGGACGAGATCGCTTGATATGCAGGATGAGCTCAGGAGAATCATTGGTGAAAAAAGGCAGATTAATGTCTCGCTTACCTTGGTCTAGATAGACCGTTGTGAAGAGTTCTGGATCTAGTACATTGAGAGCATCGGTAAGTGAAAAGATTGAGAATATGAAAGACATGCCGACACTATGCCGCCACAATGCCAGGCTGACGTGTATCGTATGAGCTGGGTCTGATTGATCAGTGCTATATCAGACAACACAGCAAACACATATTAGGGGCTGATCTGATCCGTGCTTGCGTGAATACACGCGTCTTCATATGTATGAGTAACTGATATCACGAGGCTAGGGATGCATTAATATACAGCAAACGAAATGAAACACGCATATGATAGGCAATCCTATGCAACATGACTCTACACAGGCGAAGGAGGACCTTGGACACTTCGCCATCCGGGGATCCAATTCGAGTAGGTTGAATCCTTTGCGGTGGTTGCGCGCGCATATGCAAGCCACGATGGATGATATCGGCCGTATCGTATCGATCGACCAGATAGGCATCTCGTACACCGCTCTTTTACCAAACCGAATATTTGGTAAACCGTTGCGATACCACGTACTCGATAATTTATTATAGTGGCGTTACCTGCACCTAGACTGCAGTCTTGGCAGTTTCAATGAATGCACGCACGTGCTGGCGCGTCTGACACATGAAGTTAGGCATTCCCCGAACAATCGGATCCGAGGGCGTGTGAATGCTCGCTACCACTCTTATAGCCTCGTGGGTAATACGCAGTAAGCTCGCCGTACCTCTACGTGGAGAGTCGGGATACCCAGCTATGCCGAAGCGAGTCTGAATAATAATACGCACACAAATATCCGAGATTGCTGGTCAGCTCCTACAAGCATGCGCGTCAGACAACATCATGTGATAATTTGTATGCGGAGTATGATGCGCACGTGAATCACAAGAGAACGAATGACATGAGTCACCCTCGAGATGTTTCACTAACTCGGAGCTTTGAAGTCTAGATCTTCATGACAAATCTATATGAAGCATTATTATTAATGTGGTAGCCGAGTGCCACGTAGAGAGCTGGTTGGCATCGGCGGTCTAGTCGATCCGAGTCGGAGCGAGTGAACCTGTGAGTTATAATTTCAGTGTCTGTAATTCTGAGGCAGCAAACGATATGGAGGTAGAGGTTGAAATTGCTCATATAACTCGAATCTTCACCATATGACCACATCATCTCTAGTGTCCCCAGTCGACCTTCATCATGCTGCGAGCCAGGCTATGTTTGAATCATCCATGATCTGGTGTGATTCTCTTGTATTCTCCGCTGCGCTGTTACGTCAGGAATAATGACAGCGAGACGGACCGGGGCGCCTGATGCACTCGTGTAACGAAAACTCTGGCACGGAGAAACAATCTTTTGAGCTTCATCCACAAGGACAGGCAGCTCGAGGATGTATCGATCTGGTGGGCAGACAAGCATGAATATATGCGGAGTGGCTTTGCGAGTGAGAATGGAATTAGTTGTCCTACATTGGGAGACCTCTTCCATTGCAGGCCAATTAAGCCCCTCTGCCCAGATAACATACGTGAAATGTGTTTCCCGATGTTACGCGTGGATCTGTCTGACTTCTGTGACAAGGCATGCGACGCAAGGCAAACGCAGTGAGCAGTTCGTGGAACGAGGAAGACTCGTTGTCGGCCAAGGCATCAAGTTTCGGATCTCATCTTGTTACAGGAATGGTAGCATTGAATGGCGTGCGGGGTAATGTCAACTGAAAGAAAACCCACTGAATTCGGACAGTGTTCTAGTCCAGCACAGGGAAGAAGTGTCTGTCGCATGGCCTTGACACGATCTCCTGCAACAGCCTCTCACATGTGGTTGGACACCGAGGATGTTTGATGGTATGCCAAGTCTTTCTGCAACGAGGTGACCGTGACACGCGCCAATGCCTATTGAAGTTTTTCTCGGGTACCGTGTGTCGCCATTGGACGAATGCTCGTAGATCTATGCTCGTGCATCCTTCGACTTCACGATATCCTGGACGTCGTGTAGCAGCCCTCCATCAGGGGTCAACCCAGGAACCCGGCTTGATTGAGTTCAAGAGGTGATAGCCTAATAGGTATAGGACAAAAGTCACTAGTAGTAGAAAGTACTTCTCGGCTCATATCATCAATTGGAAGGCCCGTCCAATTCGGGTCAAGTCCAGTGCATCCAACTTTGCTGTCAGACATCCGTTCGGATCCCTGTTTCTTCTTTTTGAATACTCGTGTCGCAAATTTCCGATAGTGCAGTGGTTGCATCAAGGTTGCATTACAATGAGGTATTCCCGCTACCTTTACTGATAAATTATCAGCACGGATACCTGATAATGCATGCATCACTCTGGCCAAGACGCCCCATTTTGACAAAACTTGAAAGACGGGCGATGGTCTCGTCGCTCCAAATGATGCCCACTGAGTTCATCTCGCCTATTATCCACAACCAACCACATTCATCTCGTGCCCGCTGCTAATGACATGGCGATCTCTGATGGAACACTTGCCAGACAACAAGAAGATGGTATGAAGATCGCATTATATTGTATTTGAGCACTGCAGCAGACTGCAGCTCAGTTTAATATTAGATTCTACATGACATTCGAGAATAAATGTGATCAAGGATCGATCATGCGGCACCTGTCACATAATAATCAGGGTGAAAGCATTGGTAAAAGAACTGGTGTGAAAACTCACTTGGTTTCTCGGCGGCCCAGGTATAGGGACTATTTAGTCTATGGTAGACCTTCCAAAACACCCACAATGACAGTCCTTTGAACGCATGGCTCGGTAGCATCTGTGGTGAGGACTTGCCAACGTTAACGATCATGTTGCACTAGTACTGGTGTGGTGCAGGATTCCAATGATGATGTACTTGGGAGTGAGAAAACTGAGATCAGTTGAGCGGGAGTGGGCGAAGGTGAAAGTAAAGGTGAATCATGAGTAGAGCACTGGAAGCAAAACGCTCCTCCATGATAGAATTGATGACAAGTTTGAGATGCCAGAAGAGAGACCTTTGGCTGCATCCGGCGCCCAAACAAGTCTTGGGAGTCGACGCGATGAAGGGTGGTATTGCAGTAAGCTATATGCGTGCATTCGAACGAGTGACATGGTGATGTGCTGGAGTAGCTGCTCGAAACGGAAAAAAAAACAATGTTCATGTGATAAAGTAGGATAGATAGCCAGGAAGCACCAACTGCTTGATTGGATATGATGGAACACGTTCTGGAAGCTTTGGAGACAGGAATTGGACACGTGTATGAGGTGCTGGGAGGGTATAGGGTCAAGGATGGCGGGTATGCCGACAGAGTATATATATTCTTGCTACAACAGTGATGGAGGTGTGGAGGCATTGTGTGTTGGGCGTCTATGGAAGCGAGGCAAATTGACGCAGTGAAGCAGCATAAAACGCACAATACACGCACCTCTGCAGCTTAGAGAAAGACACCCACAACCCCTCCAAAGACTACTTCAGCACGCGCCCGGCGCCATCAACCTCCAGTAAAATGTCGAAGCTCAAACTCATTCCAATCACTCCACCTCTGCGAAAGTTCAGGCCATGAAGAACGCATAACGGCAGTCGCAGTGTTCCCCAATGAACGACGGATGGTTACGGGCTCGATCGACAAGACGCTTCGTCTGTGGGACTTGAAGACAGGTGTTGTGTTGAAGAAGATGGAGGGGCACAGCGGGGAGGTATTGGGATTAATATTGGCTGTATCGCAATATGGGCAATTAATAGCATGTGGTGATTTTAACCGCGGGGAGGTCATTGTCTGGCACGGAGAAACTGGCGAATCACTCACCCAACTCATCAAAGCCCACTCCAGTTGTGTCTCCTCGCTGGACTTTTCTCCTGATGGAACCGTACTGGTCACTGGTTCAGGTGACGGAATGACGAAACTGTGGAACATCAAAACCTGGAAGCCAGAAGGAAGTCAAATCATGTGCAGCGACGTTCCGCTGCGTAGGCTATTCGAACTTCTTGCCATCGCAATATTCGACCATATCTTCGAAATTTATAATGTTGGTTACCTCACGGTATTCATCCAAAGGCACGTTTCCGTCCTTGGTCTGTATACCACAACTCGAGCATGTTTCGTGCAGATCCTAGCTATCACGACAGCCCGCATTGCATGCATAAATTGAGACTTATCTACTGCTGAAGAACTCCTCACGCAAGAAATAAACACCAATACGAACGACCATACTTCCCACGCCCATCGCTCATTCGTAATGTCCCGAAAACACGACTAGGACCACGCCCTTCGGGATGCAATTCGCCATGGCCCTCCGGGCATCCCTGTACCCTACGTTTCTCCACTCCTTTTGAGCACTGAGGCAAGACTTGGATCAGGGTATGTTTTTTGCTCTCTTTGCTGCTATTTTCGAGAGTTCATTAGCATTGATACTAGTAGTTGACTATGGGTCGGACTGGATTAAGGCTTCGCTCATGAAGCCTGGTGTGCCCTTCGACGTGCTACTGAACAAGGACTTAAAGCGGAAGATACAGTCCTTCGTAGCATGGAAGAAAGATGAATGATTATTTGGGTCTGGCGCGGCGAACATCGTGAGTACCGTTCCCTACAACTTTCTGCCCTTGGTCTGACAGGACACAGGCAGCCAGGCGTCTCGTTTCCCTCAAGACTCATTCTCATCCCTAAAATACCTACAAGGCATTCCATTCAACTCTGATATCGGCACTTATTTTACCTCCATATCCACCGCTCAGATTTCTGAGACTGGCTGGAAAACTACCGCGTTGAAACAAGGTGACGGCACAGAATGGAATACGGAGGAGCTCGTCGCGATGCAGCTATCATATATCAAGGAAACTTGCTGAGGATCTAGCAGGCGAGTCTGTAAATGAGGTCATCCTCACCGTTCCACCATACTTATCCCAGCTCGAACGCGAGATGCAATATAAATTGCAGAACTTAAAACACTGGCATTGGTCGACTACGGCACGGCTGTAGCAGCCAACACACTGACGAGGACTATTTCGACCACTCCAGAATGCCGTGTCATCTACGACGCCGGCGCATCTTCGACACGTGCCACCCCGTGGTTTCTTTCGCTGCGGCCGATGATCCCAGGACGAAGGCGTCATACGCGCGCATCAACGTTCTCGAGTAAAAGTTTTTTTTGGGGAAGGCTATCCGACTACTGATCATTTCTGGACAGGGGATTGCAGAGCGCGAAAGATGCATGTTCGCGTGAATGTTATCTATCCTAGCTGACAACCCTCTCCATTCAGGAAGCCGACGCGGAATAGGCCTCGATCATGCAACAATTCGAGGATGCTGTCGGTAGGAGAACTGCTATCGATCAAGAACAGGCTACTTTACTTGTGGAGTTGAACAAAATGAAAGGCCAGATTCATAACTTTGAAGAAGCACGTCAGGGAGTTCAGGTAAGTGTTACTTTTACGTTCCATCTGCTGTCACCTAACGCCGGAGTATAGAAAAAGATCGAGGACGCTGCTACGAGTCACCTTGAACCCCAAAGTAACAAGAATCACTACACAAAGAAGCTCGAAGACGAAACTACAAAGGTTGAAGCCAATGAAGCCATTACGAAACAGTTACAGGAGTTCATGGTCAGTATTTCAGCATTCATAACAGAGCTTGAGCGCTAATTTTTCATAAGAACTGGACCTCGAGTGCTGAGGAGTACTGCGAACGGGTTGAATATCCCCGCAAAGTCGATGTAGTGGAGCGCACTCTTGAATCCATTCAGAAAGTACTCAAAGAACGAGAGCACAGGCATGGTGCAATGGTCGATGAAATGACAATTGAGGTGAACAATGTGAAAGCTGTCCTAGATAGCGTAGAAAAGGAGCTAAGAAGTCTCGCTGAATAATGTAAGGCTGGCTCGCACTAATGGATTTTACTGGCGCTATTCTTTAGGCTCTGAAAGGTCGCTTGTTATTCACTCAAACCCCTGGCAAGAATTTCGGTGCCACATTGCTTTACGATGTAAGGTTGTATTCCAGTACCATCTGTGCAATCGTGGGTACTTTGGAAAGATTCTGTTTGACCATGCTAACCGAACACTCCAGCTGAAGGTGTCTCTTGGTATATGAATGACCTTTTAGTTAGATGGGGTGACACTTACAGGGGCGCGCCGGCGCCCATGATACCAATAAGATAGCTAGCTATCTTCGTTCCAGTAGTGATACAACAATAAATAGGTTTGCCAGACCTTTCAAGTATACTTCGCGAAAACCCTATATGTCAAATAAATACTGTGACGGATCCTGCACCAAATTTCTGCTCCGTGCAAACTACTCAGTAAGCATGTCCCTATACAGTACTGCTAGTTGATACATGTACATGCTCCTGGAAAACAATCGAACTCATGCTAGTTTCTGCTTCAGAGTATGCCACGAGTTTTGCATTGTATTCTCGAACGCTCAGGATGAGGCGTGGTCCCAGCACAAACATCTGCATGACCGACAAAATCTGAAGAACACCTTCAAGTATCAAAACTCCGGTGGAACTCGAATTCTACAGAAATAATGAGCAGTGGTTACACGCAGATGTTAGCAACAGGTCAGCGCACCGAGATTTCTGGAGAGAGAGAAGTAAGATGGAGGCAAGAGACACTAACAAAGCTAACATGTGCGGAACTTCAGTAGAAAAATATAACCGCGTTCACATCACAAGCTCACCTTGCAAAATAGAGAACGTGAGATTGTATCAGCATTCTGAAACAGTCCCCGATGGTCGATCCTGTCGATAGGCTGAGTCGTTGCAGCTCACGGAAGTGTTTCACAGCAACCCAGACTGAAAGGCACAGTGCGAATACCTCCCAAACAGTGTTGAGCATCCAAACCATTGAGTTCAAAAGCTGTTCGTCCCTTTCATATACATGATAGCACATATAGGTGCCAGAGACTATGAACTCCTCTGGTGTTTGTCCAATGAGCTGTGTTCGTCAAGTCAACAAGTAAAGCTTACCCAGTACAGTATCGCTGAGTCCTATTGCCGCAATTACTCCGCAGGCGATGTTTACAGCTAGGAAGATAATAACAAGGAACATAAGCATTGTTCTAGATCCCTGGTACATGGCATGCAACCGAGCAATCATGATGACTTGCATCGTGTGTCAGTCAGGTCAACATCACAAAGGTATTGCACCTCAGTCACTTACCGCTCAACATGGCAGTCACGCCACATTTGTCCCATTCAGTGCGTAGTCTATGATAGCACCTAAAACACCCAATTAGTGAACACCCTCGCACTAGTATCAAAGACTCCGACTTACACCTATCGAGTGATTATGTTGAGTCAATTTCAGTGGTTGAAACCTCACTCACCCCTACATATGAGCGTATTGATTGGATGGGAATCAGATGGTTGCAGAATACTTACTGCATCTGTCAGCGATACCGATGGCATATTTTCTGTGTCCCACCGGTCAGAAAAATGGAACACAGCGCATATGAGACATACCCAGAAGATTGACACTTGTTGTCAGAGATAAGCTATTAGCACAGTGCAAAGTTGTTGATCTCGAGACATACACAGAATACGGTATTCCAATATAGCGTATCTAGAACATTTTAGAGTCAGCACAGGTTGCCCACCATGCTAAAGCACAACATGAGGTACGAACAGTCAAATATAGCACAGTCATAAGAGACCAGCGTTGTCTCTGTCACGAATTCATTGCATTCTCCTGTTTTCTTCTGATATGGGACCCTTTTCACTCACCCAGATGAGTTCAATCTGGGACACCATTCTTAGTGGGATAGCTGCTCCGGCGATAACATTGACCTACCTCTTGTCCGAGTGTTAAGACTGGAAATATCATGAGAATATCAGCAATTTTCGAACACTGTCCTGCTCACCCCAATCGTATACCACCACGATGCCCGCGGCAACTGCGAAACTGCATGTCAAAGTTGAAGTTGGATCTAGACATCCTGATACGACAAACCTGCCCAATAGCTGAAAAAGATATTGAAACTGATATATGACCACCAACTGGGATCACTTGAGACGTAGGTCATGTTCGAGGGATGGCTGGAATATTAGTGGTGTATGACGACTATGGCAGTCCAAATGCAAAATAAAATCAGGTGCACGCACAATTTTCATGCACGCACAGCAAAATCACGCCCAATCACTGCGGAAACGAGATTTTGATTAGGTCTGTGTTGGTGTCAGCGCATCGTGGTCACATTTGTCGGAAAAATCTAAACTTACCTTGGAAGGCTACTTTAGATTCTTCCGCTAGTCCTGGTCGGTGATCTCCGTTCCCAGCACTTACTGCAATCATACCAGCGTCTATATTGTGCCGGGCATATACCTGTATATACCCTTCTAATTGTTTCATACTCATTTTCCTCCTATTGATAGTTCTCAAGGAGTTCTGTTATTTATCTCGACCCAGTACTTATCATTTACCCATCCACAGTGATGAAGGCGGAATTTACTTCATCTCCATCCTGCGACTTACTAGTAGCAGCAGCATTCTGAGAGTCTGCATGACACGAACATTACGATTGTGCCCAGGCTTTGGCAAAACATGATGAGAATTGTCTGATCTGGGGCATTTCAACAACTTAAACACAATAGCGTTGCAAATACAATCATCATCACATACGTGTACTTACACGAAGCAGATCACGAATATGATCCTTACGATCAGAAGAAAATGCATAGATGAATGTGCACGCGCGATCTCGGCATATTGGCAATTGCTCTGAATTGATCGCCACAAAATTCTCCACGATCAACCACAGATAATTGGGAGCCACCACATGCAGCAACAAACTTGCAGGATATTGATTACACAGAGACGCACACTCGCGGGAGACCTCTAAAAACCCAAAACACACGTGCAAGACACATGATGACACAACAGACGACCCATCGTCTGCAAGCTCGCGGTCAGAAATCACGAGAGATACAGGAGAAAGCTAGATTGCCAGTGGAGGATGAACGTTGAACCAGAAGCCATAACAACAGAGACGAGAGAAAAGAACGATGAAGCTCTTAGCTGGAGTCATGATGACAAAGCTAAAGTCCAAAAGAGATCGCCGTCATGATCGAGCTCACGGAGAAATTTTCTGGGAGACCTGTACCCTAGAAGAGGGTACAGGGATTAACGTGAGATGAAATGACGGATCGTGGCCCCCTTACAAAAGGCTAACTCAATAGTGACTTAGTCCATTAGCATCCAGCCCTCATTGACAGGCTATCTTTCCAAGGGAATTGCCCTCTGCGGAAAAGGCCATGTCCGGGATGCGAGGGCAGCATTTGATGTCGCACCCATGTACACGAACCAGGATCAAGAAACCATTCATTTCCTGCTCTTGATTACGGTTTCTTCGCATACTTTCGTTTCATTCCATATTTCAGGCCATTGCGCTCTTCGATGCAGATCAGCACGACGAGGCAAACTTGCTCCTTGAAGAACTTGCTACTGGCTGTCCGAATGACGATACCCTGGCGTGTGGTATCGTGCAAGTAAGTATTATCCACACTGGGCCATTAACTTTTAACGCTGAGTACCGTAGACGAGGCCGCTGACCATTTCACTGCTGCTGTCAACACTAGCGCTTTCTCATCGCAATCGGACATTCATCAAATTTACGAGGACTTAGTGGTGGTACGTCAATACACATCCGAAACACTTTTCATAACAAAGTCCTTTGTTCAGCTCTTCGGCTGGGACCTGAAATCGTTGTGGCTCACTGCACACCAGGAACATTTTCATGCACTCCTTCTGGCAGGCAAACTTCAAGATGCCGTGAGATCATACCGATACATGATGGTTTTGAGTGATGAGTATACAAAGGCCAACTGCGTTGACTGGTCCAGCGGCAAGTTTGGATTTCGTAAAGTCATGCAGGCTACAATCCTCATTTACATTTATATCAGATTTCAAGCAAGAATGTAGCGTACTTTGTGTTGTCAATGGAGATACTGCCCTCACTGCAAACGAGTATAACAGGGCTATTGACCTATATTCAGCGGTGATCCATCTGTATTCTGCATCCGATGTCGTCTTTGCAAATCGCAGCAGGGCACAGTTAGGTAAAATGCTATGGCAGGATGCGCTCCTCGATGCGCAAAAGGTGCAATGACGTCTATGTTTTCGTGGCCCATGTTAACTTCGGCAATGCATAGGTTACCGAACTCAGTTCTTCTTCTCACGTCGGATACCAGTTGACATACACAGCGCTGCATGCTGCGCAACGTTACGAAGAAACCATCAAGGCCTTCACAATCATGTTGTCCAAGTTGGACAGTGCTCCCGAAGCACAGATACGAAGTAGGTCCTGGGACATTCATTCATTAATTCGAGGATGCTTACCTTGTCTTGCAGACCTGCGTCGGCAGTATATCTCTCCATACGAGGCAGAAGATACAATTCGAAAAACTGTTTGGATTGAACTCGAAAACACCCCGCGTCGTCTACTTAACACTTCCACGGGTCTCTTGTGCAACCGAGCGGCACAGATAAACTCCTTCAAAATGAGTTCAGAGTACAAGGAGCTTCTTTCATCTACAACGGAGCATTCAGGCCTCCAAACGGAATGCATCAAAGACGTGGTGGCAATGTACTTCCGCTGCGTCCTGCTATCGCACAGCGAGGAAGAGACGGAGGTGCTACTGCACGACATTCAGGACAAAGTCGTGTACGAGTTGAATGGACTTGGTGGCATCGCGAAACTGCAGTCATTCTGCAAAATCGTTCGTGATGCTGGGTATCACTGGGCCTGGATGGACACATGCTGCATCGACAAGAATAGCAATCCCGAGGTCCAAGAATCAATCAACTCCATGTTCGTATGGTATCGTCACTCAGCGCTTACCATCGTCTACCTATGTGATGTCCCTCCTTCATCCCACCCCGGTGCACTGGCGCGGAGTGTTTGGATCGAGAGAGCATGGACCTTTCAAGAATTGGTCGCTCCGAAAGTCTTAATCTTTTATCAGAAGGACTGGTCATTATATCTCAACGATCGCTCTCCCAACCACAAAGAGTCTCCTGCAATCATGCGGGAGTTGGAGGATGCGACGGGCATAGATGCACGGGCCCTGATCTCCTTCCGTCCAGGGATGAGCGATGCTCGACAGAGACTTCAATGGGCATCGTCACGCATCACTACAATATTGCAAGAAGACATCGCGTACTCATTGTTTGGTATCTTCGATGTCCACTTACCTGTAATGTACGGCGAGAACAAGCAGCACGCGCTCGGGAGACTCCTGCAGGAGATCGTGGCTCGGTCGGGCGACATCACTGTCCTCGATTGGGTCGGACAAGCGTCCGAGTTCAATAGCTGTCTTCCAGCCTATATTACCTCTTATACTACTCCTCCCCTCACCCTTCCATCTTTGTCCGAAGATCAGATTCAGACAACTATCTCTTCGCTGCGAAAAAACCCTGTGGCTCTGGATTTGGCTTCGAAACTTCACGACGTGCTTGATCGCATGAGCGCTGCTCGTTTCGTGAGCTACAGACTGCATCTGCCTTGCATAGCATTCCGTGTCACAGACGTCAGTCTGAGCTACGGTCCATCCGAGACTCAATATCAAGTCAAGGCAGACGGGCTTCATGACTTGCTGATCACCACCAATGAACCGCTTGTTCAGTCCTCGCAGACAAGGCCCCCTCAGCAGACCTTCGTGCTTGTTCGTCCCTGGGATTGGCCACTCATCGAGCCATCAGACTTTGCAGATTTGCTAGACGATACGGAAAGCGAGGAAGAATATGGGACGCCGCCTCCTTCTCCGTCGGACGCTTCATATAGCCGTTCTCTTGTAAAACAAGTGGATGGTTCAAAATCGCGAGCATTGCGATTGCTTGTTCACCTTGGGCAGCCTTTCCGCGCATTTTTGCTAGCGCGGCAGCGCCGTGGAGAATACAAGAGGGTCGCGTCGGATCGTGATATCATCGCACAAGTCAAAGATGTGGCTTCTGTTCGATACCTCATGGACATCAGAATCATGGAAATTTCGTAGATGCATGTTTTTTCCCTAAAGATTAGAAATCTGATCGGCTTTCAATGGTACTTCGTATACGGGATACTAGTACACGCATGTGTTTTGGACCAATAGTTTCTTCCAATGCACTATCTGCACTTCTCTCATTACATAAACTGATCAGTCAGCCAATTTGGTTCATCACACGGGCACGTGCTGGGGTTCAATTTATCATCTTCAAGCTTCAAGTCTCGTCACTTAATAGTACTTATCACCGGTCACCGGTTCACCCTTCGTCTGCGGCACCACTACTAATCAGCACCTGGAACGAATTCGAACTTCACGCTGAAAGACGCCCAGGAGACCACGCGAGTTATCGCTAGCCCTAACCTTGCTGCTGTACGAGATAGTAGCGACTGCGGTCGCTACCGTAGCCTATATACATCGCAGCATTAACCTCTCTCATCTACATTAGACACTCGATTTAATGCCCTTTTTATGTAAGGCTGCAATCAGGTCACCACACGCGCGTCCCTCGATGGTTCTGGCATTAACGTTATGCGGTCCTGCACCGTTGTACTAAGTACACGTACAGTACCAAACACCTTCTCCCGCTTGATTGGAACGTGACCCTTAAACGCGTCTTTTTACAGTGCCTTACAGAGGAGTGCGTAATGACAACATCCTACGGGGATATCCTCAATTGGAGATCATCGAGCCTCTGCTTCCGAAATTTTTTGGGGTCACCGGCAGTTGCAGGCAAGTTGCGCGGTGAACGGGCCCACAGGGTTGAATTTTGGCTTGATTAAAGGGCATAGAAATTTTGGTCTGTGCCACCACATAAACATACATTCGGACTCACTACATTAGTACGTACAGATTAGGCTGTTCCGGACCTGAGGAATTGAAATCTCTTTAGTGGACCTCATGCATCCCACCTAAATCAACAAATCGCTTAGCAGCCGAAAGACGAGACTTCTTTTACTCGAATTTATCGATGGAGTCACGCCCCCATTGCACGGAAACGAGGCTGAGTCCCTAACTAAGCCCTGCCTCTATTACGCTCCTCGTGTTTCAGATGTGAGATTGAGTTGCAAATTCTGGTTGCGTACATTTACTACCACAGGAGTAAACAAACGTGTATGTAAGACATTGATACTGGTATGTTACATCGAATCATAAATCTGGAGAAGCACTAACTGTAGAAGTGACAGTGAATAAGCACCGCAAGACGAGTTAAAGTAATCGTCATCTGGGCACGCCCTAGCGTCATTGAAAGACCCCCCCCCCTCATCTACTACGCACCGCTAACCTGAGCAATTCTTCTTATGATTGCTAAGAGTGTCCCTGCGCGAGAACTTGCTGCCGCAGTCGCAGAAGTATGCAATCCCCATGTGCATTTCTTCCACATGCTCGCAAAGGCTCCCAATGTTGAACTCCCGACCACAATGGTTCCATTTGCACTCGGCGCGCGCACTCTCTTTCCCGCGAATTTCGTGAATTTCACGTAGGTGATTAGGCAAATCGGTACCACGAATCAAGTCGTTGCAGTGTAACCCGTGCGGATAACCCCACATGCACTGGAATAACTCTTCGGGAGAATGGGCAACCTGAAGGTGTTAATTAGGTGCAAGTGATCACAATATTGACATTTACACTTACAGGTCCTGGCGCAGTGGAGGAATCAGATAATCCGTTGCTAGGGCGGCTATAAAAATGGTTCGACATGGTATGATCGAGAGAACTGTGTGCTTTATGCAGCTTGAATACCTGAGTGAGCAGTGACCTAGCGAGATGCAATGGGCCCATCAACGATGTTCTTATACTCTTGCCCCCCCCCCCACGAACTACCTTATAAAAGATGAATATACAGCAATCACGCTGTTGGCAATCAATCGAGAGCCTCCTTGAGCGGTTACATTTGAGCTTCACGGAGATGATCAGGCCAATCGGCCACAGGGGCTACTTTCCCAGCCTGCCAAGTTTCACACTTGACACATCGGCAAAATTCTAAAATAAGCGCTCGAACTTTAATTTATATCTCGACGACGTGAAAGATAGCGAGAGGTACTACGACACGGTGAAGGAGGGAAAATAATATGTAGTGTCACATCAATATCATCAACACGACTGTTTCTCCAGTCTAGAAGCGGCACAACAAAGCGATATTTCGCTCCAGGCTGGCGCGCGCCTAGCAGTGCAAAGCGCTGGTTTCAGACTTCATGTAGGATATGCATGCTAACCAAATACTGATAGTGTGTCTGATAGAATCCTTCATCGGGCTGAAGGTAATGCAGACATTCGATGGGCAGAGGGGGCTGATAAGATCTCAGCACGTTTCAGCCCAACCAGCGCCCTCAGATACTGAATGAATGCAATAAAACAAAAATTAATGGCGGCGGATTTGAAAACGGCACGGGGGTTTGATTAAATCTGTGGTTGTCCGCCCTTGGCTATGACTGTTGGGAAGGACCTTCAAGGGAACTATCATGAATAAATGTGTGATAAAAGGAAAAACTGCCGTTGAGGTTTCAAAATAGCAAGTTTCAAACTTGCACCATCAATGCAATAGAGACAGATTTCGAGTCTGGTGCACTAACCCCTTGGCTAAGGCTAGTTCGGATGAACAACCACGAAATTATTGGTGAGTGAATGTGTAGGTGTCATCATAGACAAAAACCATTTGAGGCAGGTTTCAAACCTCCAACATTCGAGAGAAACAAATTTTGAATTTGTTATTGCGCCCACATGGCTATGACTATTGAAGATGGATCTTTAAGGGACTATCTATGGGTGACCGTTGACAACGTTGAAGGTGCGCTCACCAAAGTAACTCTTATCAGAAGGTTTTGAAACTCAGAAATCATGGTAACCACTTGGCAGGCTGGAATGATTAAGGGCATTTGTTGAAGGCAACGGACCTACAGGCTTCTCATGAACGTTAGAGGGCTATAACGGAGTGCAAGCGATGGCCACGCTGCACGACTCGTTTTGTGACCTTTGTCATTGATGACTTGACAAGAATGTACGCCGAGAACGGCCAGAAAACCCAAGCTTTTCAACAGAGATGCGCACGCCTCTAAGCCAAAAAACTCATCAGCCCGGTGGGAACTAGAGAAAAGACAGAACAAGCAGGAGATAAAAATATAGTGGCGGAACACATGGGGGTCGTAGTCAATTAAATGAGATGTCGATGATCACTGACATTGAATGTCGGTGTATTGAATACACACGCGATCAATACAGATAAAGAAATAAATCCAGAATCCAGCTTGTCTTATGGTCAAGAAGCGACGGTGTTCTATTCGCCACTGTGACAGCGGGAAGTACCACAGATATTGTGGCTTGCTGCAATGATACTCCGTTGATACGAGTATTTAGATGCTCTGGAGGAGCCGGCAGCTGTCCTCTTTCTCCCGTTGTAGTTCTTTTGTATGAAAATGAGTTAGCGATAAAGAAGAATCGAGAAACGTACAGGCTTGGTGGCAGGGTAAGGGATGTCGACTATGTGTGGCTCTCGCTACTCAATGTCTGATGCATCTCCTGTGCGTAGTATGCCAGAGACGAAGTGCCACACGATCTCAGCGGTATGTGATGGAAACCGGGTGTCATGTTCAGTTACGCGGTTCAGATTGAAGAGGTAGAGACCGAGGAGGGTGCGTTGACGTGGTGCGGTGCTGTGATGGTCACGTCGCCCATGGGAGGTAGAGAACTAACACTATGATACTGCTCGAGAGGACTGTTTAGGTTATAGGACACGTATTAATTCTTAGTGTATTTGATGAGCATTTTGAATTGGTAGGGTATTGCCGTGTGTATGTCGTTGTCGTGGAAGCCGGTGACGAGCAACTTTCCCGGGTCATCCGTAGAAAAGGCCGCAGATTCCACCTAGGTTTCATGATGGTGGTCTGATAGATTTGTTAACACTGCTGTTGAGGTTCCATAGTCGCGTTGTCTTGTCACAACTTATAAGGTACGCTTGCGAGAGACTCAGAAATTCTGGCCCTGCATTGACTTATGTCATCATGGTCCAGGTGGCTGTGTCAAATTCCTTTCTTGACCTTGAACGCTCTGAGCGCTTGAACCGCGACATGCGGTACAGCCGACACAACCCATACTTACCGGTTTTAGCGCGAGCGCCCGCCCGTTGCGATAATCGTACTATCCAGTGAAACAGCTCACACACCGTTGTTCCTTGCATCGGTTGGTCCAAGGATGGTCTCGCCGCTCCCGACATTCCACATTCCGACTGTTCCGTAAAAGAATCCGTTCGTCCCTCGCTCCCCACCTGGACTCCAGTAGACACACCACAATTCAACCTTTGTATGTCCCGTCTACTTTTTATGACCTTGCCTGTGTCGGTGTCCGAGAATACAACTGTTTCATCTTCACTCCCCCTTGCTACTTTCTTGCCGTCTCCTCCACTACCTTCGTCATGACAGGCCTTCCAGACCTGTATATCGTTCTCCAAGTCCAGGCAGGCGTAAAACGCGGCCATAGACGGTGCTGGTGTGTCCATCTATCTTTTAGTGGAGCGCTCTTGTTGATTTTTTCTGCTTCACGACAAGGGGAAGGCGTCATTCCTGCTCGCGGACTTTACCTAATGAGCGCGCAGCTCCTCAGGTTACCTTCGAAAATCATACGAATATTTACTCATAGGCGCCGCCGCCACCCTTATGAAATGAAAGCTCCGATGGAGTGGACAGCTTGTAAAATGCACAGGATGAAAGTCCTGTCGAAATTCCCATCATTCATGCTGTATCCTCGTGTTCGCTTCATAACTTGAGCACTGGCTGTGCAATCAGGCGCCCAAATCTTATATGCGCAGTTTCTTCATCTCCGTTGAACTCTCGGCATTTGTCTGGTAGTTGGACACATCCATCACATATCGATGCCTACCCTACAACAAACTAGGAGCGATATAAATGAAAAGACTGACTTCGAAATTGTAATTTATGGACATGCGAAAGCAAGTACGCACAGCAGGCACTGGTTCCCGCCACCGTGCTTATTCAAAACATCGATGAGAAAAAAACATCAAAACGTGATGCATGATGAATTTAGCCTGGTGCGATTTGCATCAGTTTCAAATTCATCAGTAGGCCTAGGTAGGCCCTTGTTATATCTTTCCATCCTTGTGACCTTATGTATTATAGCTCCATGGGTTGAGGCAGAAGAGCGAAGAGCTGATCGATCACTGCTGTCACGCTCCCACACTGGAGTACCCAGACCCAGTCATGGAGGCCGATTCGATAAGGATAATGTGACCATCAACTATGAAATGAGCGCCCACAATACGATCGAAAGTTAGGCTCCCTGCGGTAGTAGCAGTACGTTTGAATTTCATATATCCTGATGGGTGCTGTCTCATTTCTCCTCTTATCTAGCGATGGCCGCCATGGATTCATTGAATGTCAAGAGTTGGGACGTTTTTGGTTGCGGTAATTGATGTGTCACCGTGGCATCAACTTCACAGAACGTTTAAGCTAAGCGCAGTGCATCTTTTGCGTAGGCTGCCACGGATGGACGTATAATTATATATTCACCAAGTTCGCCGCTTATCTGCATCCGTCCTCTAACAGTCTGACCTGATCTCGACTGGTCCCAGTTGGCGGCCGTTCATCAATGCCTATCGTACTAGCGGCTATTTTGTGGGTTTGTAGAGACCAGTCGGATGATACCGGTAGCGTCCTGATCTAACCTTAGCTGCATTTTCATGATTTCATATCTGATCTTGTGTATCTGGGAGGGCTGACTCCCGGTCACCTATCGTGTGTATGTCCCCATACTCAGCGGAAGTGTTTTCTGAACTCCTTAGGGGCGGCACCAATAAACACATTGAAAACTCTCTGCATCACCGGAAACAAGGTCGCCCGTATGTTCCTCTTGTGCATCTTGGTATGTACGCCCAATGGACTCAGGACTTATGTTCAATGAATACCCACTGCAACGAGTTAAGTAAGGATCATCTTGGCCATGCTAACGTCTTCTAGAGGACAATGTACGTGCATGATTCGCTAAAAGCATCCACCAAGGTCACGATATAGGAGTGAATACTACAAGACTTACGGCGACAAATCAAGGAGAAATGGCCCGGGCACGCAGTGGGGTTTATCTATGTGAGACTCTCGTCTAGGCTCGGGACGAGCCTGGCTTGTATTACCACTGACAAGACGAGTGGCATACTAGTTACCGCTCCACCATTAAGCGAATGCAGTTTACATTCAGCCATCTACTGTTATTGACCTGAACAGATGTGTCTAAGAAGAGTATATTTGCGCGAGAACGTGTGCCCGCACTTGCAGGTATATACGATCCTCATATGCTTTTCCTCCATATGTCTAACGAGTTTATTTCCCGATCACAATGTTTCCATTTGCACTTGACGCGTGTCGTGTCTGGGCCATGATTTCCGTGAATCACGCGTAAATGAGCGGCCAGATCGTGGCCACGAATCAAGACGTCGCAGTTCGTCCCATCTGCACATTCCCACATACACTGGAACATCTCATCAAGTGAATGCTGAAAGCGCTGACTCTCAGACGCAGCGACGTCTGGTGAGAAGATTGAGAACTTACACCCAGTGCCGGTGCAGTAGAATCGGATACCCCATTGCTCGAGTAGTTGTCAAATCGCATCGACATAGTAGTAGTACGTATTCAATGCTTCCTGGAGTATCTTTGGAGGGAGTGCTGGCCTTAGCGCTCGAGATAGAAGAGGCAAGGTAGCCACACCGCATCGATCGGCAGCCTATCTAAATATACCAGCCAGCTATGCATGGGCAGCACTATTCTTACTACTGAACATGCACGTACACCACTCAAAGGTTCGCAACTTCCTGTACAGCACTCCAAGTTCCGCTTGCCAATCAGTCTAGGAACTTCTGTCAAAGAAAATAGCCGCAGATACTTGCCGCCAACAGCATCTAGTAGCGGGAACTTGAAGCGCCGCGCCAAATCTCCGGAAACCTTGCTTGCCCAGCATCATCACATCTTCGCATGTTTGTGAAATTACTTGCAAACGCCTACAGCATTCCATAAACCAGTATGTGCCCTTTATAAATATAAGAGATACCACGGTGTAAACAAGAAAGAATGGTGCACCATTCGAAATTTCACCAAGAGCTGGTGGACGTGTCACTCTAATGAATTCAGTACGTTTTCAGTGTTCACAAAACTGTTGTCAACTAAGGTGAGCTCTAGGCTAGAACTTCTTCAGTGGCGACAACAAAGAGACAAATCAATTCTGATTCATTTTCTCGTAGAAATACACCATGTATGTTACACTTCAGTACACATTGCCTTTTCAAACGAAGTTAAAGTTTCAAGCGCTTCATAAACTGGTCAATCAAGCTCGTCGTAAAGTTCTCCACCACTTGGAACCTCGCGATCCCACATGCTTCGCTTTCAATGTGCTGCATCAGGCCTGACACCAACTTGTACTTCCTCTTGCACTTTGGGCACTTGAACTCATCCGCGTCATGCGCCGGAGAGTTGATGTGGGAGTTCAGAGCCCCCAAGGTACGGAAAGTACGGTGGCAAAGATAACACTCGTAAGCAGTGCCGTTGAATGCGCGCTCTGTCACATAGTAAGACACAACACGGGTCGATCCGCCTTCTATGCGGCGAGAGACCGAAATCGTAGGCACTATATTGAGTGCATGGACTGCCGCGGTTACTTGGGCTCGTGAGATATTGTGACAAGTCCCCGACTCAATGTGAAGGGCGATCGAGGAAGGGGTCTTAAATCTCTTTGAGCACAGAGGACACTCGAAATCCAGGCCTTTGTGCACAGGGGAGGATGAGTGCTGTGTGGCGGGGTTTTATCAACATAAGAAGGGTAAAAGAGAGAGCCGGACTTACTTGATCCAATGAAGTCGGCGTGGCAAAATCGCGCGAGCACAAAAAGCACCAGTTGTGCTTTAAGCTGGTAGCAAGGTGCTGATAAAGGCTTGCCAAGTCAACAAACCACCTGTTGCATCCCACGCAGAACGGTTCTTCGTCATCTTCGTCATCGTCATCGTCATCGTCATCGCCATCGTCGCTCTCGAACACATACTCGTCTGATTCACTGTCGCTGCGATGTACCGCAGCATTTTGCATGTGCTGACATAAAAGGAGCGTAAGTTGGGTGAAAATTGGCAACAAGCGCCTCCCCACACGGGCCGCACCTGATCCAGTCCAGTAAAAGTAGAGAATAGTCTGTCACAATCCTCGCAGAAGGGGTGGTCAGCTTTGTCGCGACAGTGGGCAAACAATGCCTGAGTGGAACGAAATGAACGGTCGCATTGATTACACTCTGCCATGATAGTGGAAGTCAAGACGAAGGTCGCCACAAGGTTGTCGAAGTATTTATTCAAATATGAACGTAACGTAACCATGAGGCTGTAACGAAGCAGCTTGAAAGGGGCACGAATTCTTGCCAATTGCTCAAGGCGGCCCTGATTCTGTGACAAGCATTAATGCTATACGACAATCCTCGTGCCAGATACGTATGTCCCTAAGTTATCATGATGATTCTCTTGTCGTGAGACATCTGACAATGGGACACATGTATCAAGCAAGGTCGTGATATGCTAGACAATTTTTGGCTCAGTGGCCCCAGCTAGCCAGCAAAAATGATTCAATTTATTATTGTCTCCTCTGGGCCGTCATACTACTGGCTTGCAGGCGGCCGTATGGAACAGAGTGCTGCGCAGGTATCATCATGCTAAGAAAATGAGTAAGAAGGCAAGAAGCAATAGTCGAGTAGGAGACCTGTGACCATTAGCTTTCAGGAACAATGTTTTTTTACCTGAAACACTGGCAGCAGAATTCCTTGAATGTCCACAAAACAAATTTGTAAGTGGTCGGGTCAAGAGGTGTGTAAACCGGACACAGAGCTGGCGTAAGTTGCACCTGGGTCAAACCTGGGTTGCCCAATAAGTCGGGATATCTGGCGAAATTTACGATTAGCTAATGTAAATAAAGGGATTCGTCTCAGATTCGTTGGAAAAAAAAGGGAATCCCACGTCACGTGACATACGGCTGGAATTTCGCATTGTCCTGCCGCATGCATACCCTTACGCGATTTTTCGTCCTAGGACGAAAAATTACGGCACATGCATCGAAAGTCCGAAGTACATAGTGTAGAACATTAAATTACTAGTAATAGAAAATTGCAAGCATTAAAGTATCGATGCAAATCATGCACAGACCAAGCAGACTCCTCAAGTTCTGCAGTCAAATCACCATCACATATGGTTGGAATTTTGCATTGTCCTGCCACATGGATACTCTTACATGATTTTTCATCCCAAGGCAAAAAATTACGGCACGTGCATCGAAAGTCTGAAGTACATAGTGTAGAACATTAAATTACTAGTAATAGAACATTGCAAGCATTAAAGTATCAATGCAAATCACCAATAGACCAAGCAGACTCCTCAAGTTCTGCAGTCAAATCACCATCCGGCAGACAAAGCAGACTCCTCAGGTATTAATATATAGAGTACATGTCGGGATATAAAACATCCGCCAGGCACCTAATCATGGAAGCAAAAAAATTCACAATGTTAGCGGGTGCCTGCCCGAAAGCCTGAAATTTACAAAATTTACAAAATTTACAGTGTATTTCTCCTTCTCCTGCACTTTACTCACTTTACCCACTCAAAATCGCACTTTACAGTACTTTACATGTAATATGTCCCTACCCTCCTCCTCTCCCTCCTCCTCATCCTACACAGCTACCATAAATGGGTGGCTTAGGTGTCACAATCACGTGACTTCACCTTCCTCTGCTGTGCAACTCTTTAGTCCCTGCCATGCATAATACCACAGGTGAATGCCTCAACAACATCAACACCTCTCCTGGAGAAGGTGCTTTTTTATTTTTTATTTATTTATTTGTTTGTGATTCTCACTTGTACTTTACAGGGCCTCAGGACTTTATGCCAATGACAAACAGTTGATTGGTGACGTTGCCCAGAACCAGGCCACTATGAGCCCCCACAATGTGTAAGTTTTAACCTCTTTTTTCCATTTCTTGCGCTAACCATACCTTGGTAGTGTTTTTGATGCCAAGGTCCAGTTGGACATCAAGCACTTCCCTTTCACTGTTTTCACCAAGGCTGGTAAGCCTTGCATCTGAGTGGAGCAGGAGTTTTCTCCCCAGGAAATCTCGTTGATGGTTCTTCTTAAGATGAAGGAGACTGCTAAGCCTTACCTGGGCTACAATATCAGCAATGCAATCGTCACCGTCCCTGCCTACTTTGACGACTCTCAGAGACAGGCTACAAAAGACGCTGGTACCATCTCTGGAATGAACACTCTTCATACCAGTGATGCCGCCCAGAACCAGGCCACTATGAGCCCCCACAAAATGTAAGTTTTGACCTCTTTCATTTCTTATGCTAACACATCTTGGTAGTATTTCTGATGCTGAGGTCCAGCCGGACATCAAGAACTTCCCCTTCACTGTTTTCAACAAGGCTGGTAAGCCTTACATCCGAGCGGAGCAGAAGGAGTTTTCTCCCGAGGAAATCTTGTTGATGGTTCTTCTTAAGATGAAGGAGACCACTGAGCCCTACCTGGGCTACAATATCAGCAATGCAATTGTCACCGTCCCTGCCTACTTTGACGACTCTCAGAGACAGGCTACAAAAGACGCTGGTACTATCTCTGGAATGAATGTTCTCCATATCGTCAACCAGCCCACTGCTGCTGCCATCACATATGGTCTCGACAAAAACATTATTGGTGAGGGCAACATCCCCATCTTCAATCTTGGAGGAGGAACCTTTGATGTGTTGCTCTTGACCATTGAGGAGGGTACATTCAAGGTGAAGGCCACTGCTGGTGACACTCACTTGGGTGGTGAGGACTTTGGCAACCGACTCGTCAACCACTTCGCACAAGGGTTCAAGCGCAAGCACAAGAAGGGTGAGTGATTTTCTTACACTACCATCAGCCACTCAGACTTCCATTGAGATTGACTTCTACTTTAGTTCTCTCACTTATGCCCATTTTGAGAAGCTGTGCATGGACCTTTTATGCAGCATGCTCAAGCCGGTGTAGCACTCGAGCTCATGCTAGGCTTGTATTCAGCCATTTCACGCATCACATCAAATGTCCGTTGCACAATATTCACTTCCCGATGCAACCTGACGCATATCCACTGAACCTGACACTTTGACCAGTGGACCTGACACATCGGCCACATCGGACCCGACATTTTTCCTGTGCACTTGTCCTATCCGTGTCTTGTCTTGTCAGCTAGCCCCACTAGGTGTGTAGCTGATTATTTCGCATATTACTCACGTCGTAGCCAGCGCTATCACATGTTCATGTTTTCCCATAGTCTGCAGTGCCTCATGTTTATTTACATGTACATCGGACCCAAAATTCTTTGGCCGCTTCTTTTGCCTATAGGGTTCTGGATTTCTATGTACTTATATATATATTGGTTTCCACATAGCAAATTCATCATCCAAGGGAGCCGTTTCCTGTCGCTTTGTGGTCAAACCCAATAATTTGTAGTTCTTAGTTGACATTGCGAATATTACTGCACTTTCTATCCGAAACACCCGTCCTTATCAATATTCTGCATATCGCTCACTATACCTGATGATCATTTTGCAAACCTGCCAAACCCACACCTGAAACCTGCTAACCCACTAAATCCAAAAACATCGGCTGACACTTAGGTATCGGACTCGTAATTATACCTTCGGATTCTGTTTCTCACGCTCGGACTTTTGACACTTTATTGATTGACTAACTATAGACTTATTCCAATAGCAAACCCCTCGGGTTGAACACACTTGTCTAGCAAGTATAGCAGACTAGGCTGTGCAAGACCACTACAACATTTTTATATTGCTGACACTTACTTCATATAGTATCAAGCATTGTTGTATCTTTACACCAGTCAAGAAGGTCCTCCAGGACTCCAAGATTGACAAGGTGGAGTGCCAAGCAGTATGGTCTTGCTAACTCTGAGATATTCCAGCATACTCCAGATGTATTCCTTGTATTGTTAAGCTTGTGTCTGACTTCAGACTGGTGGTGGTCAGGTGATGTCCGAATCTACCCCTTTCTATTTGCCCCCCTTTCAAGAAACTTTCGTTGTTGTCTACTACCATCACGACTCATCATGGGAATACGTGGACTATGGGAGGTGAGCTGAGATTTTCTTGCTGTGGGCTGCAGGTACTGATGTTCATCACAGCGAGTCACTTTATCTGCTGAAAACCAAACTCTCAAGGAACTTGCAGTGTCAGAGCTGAAGACTGAAGACATCGAAGGCAACCACAAGCTCCAATTATTCAAAATTGGGATTGATGCCAGGTACATGCTTCTCTTCTTTTGTATGTTCATTGAACTCACTCATGCTGTTAGCCTGTGGATGCACAGTGTCTGTGCTGTCTTTTGGATCAATCATGCAGGAGCCAGAAAGTCGCTGGAATTGCAGACACTGTTTTTTGACTGCAGACACTGCTGAAGCTGCCGCTGCACGCAATCTTTGTCTTTGATGGCCTCAAGCACTTGCCAGACAAAGGTCACAAGGTTAGGAGCAGCCCCTACTGGCTCACCCATGACCTCCAGTGCATGCTGGAGTTGTTTGGCTTTCACTGGACTGAAGTATGTTCTCTCCTCTTACGATGTCGCCATCTCACCAGTGCCATACCAGGCCCTGAGTGAAGCTGAGGCAGAGCTGGCTGCCATGAATGTCCATGGCATCATCAATGCTGTGATGATTGAGGACAGCGATATTTTGGTCTTTGGAGCTCCGTGCATTATTAGAAGGTATGCTGCCATTTTCCTGTTGATGTGCTGCCATTGATTCTCATCAGTGTGAAAAATGACAAAAACTATCTCAACATCCAGGTGTTCACGGAGGATGGCCTTGAACATGGCTGCTCATTAACCCGAGGAGACCGGCTGCTAATTGCCCTGCTTGTAGGCGGTGATTATGATGGTGGTGTGCCTGGCTGCGGTATTGAAATCGCGCACAAGGTGGCACTGCACAGTAAAATCAGCCAGATGATGCTTGATGCCTTCCTCTCAAGGACACCAGATGAATTCTCTGAGCGGGCTAAGGAGCTCGTTGAGGATCTCCATACCCTACTTTCTACTAATCCTTACAATTCGCTTGAGCACAGGTATAAGGCAGTTGCGGACCACATTCCTCAAGGTTTCCCTCAGCATGCAGTAGCCAGCAAGTACGTTCACACTTTCACATCTTTGTCAGCTGGTGCAGCTGCATCACCCTGGGACATCTCGTTCTATCAACCAGATCTCGTGAATCTTGCAGACTTTTGCCGTCAGCATTTGGGCTGGGAGGATAATGTGATCATTGAGAAGATGTATGGAGGCGTATGGGAGGGCACCTATCTATGTGCACTATGCAAGGTAAGCAGCACTATACTCATGTAGGCAGCTGCTAACACTTGTGTTTTGGTTGCCATAGTGCTCACCAGACCAGGCAAACCTTCAGCCAAAGCTCAAAGTCCTTTCTCAGTCAACGCTTATGGGTTTGAGGCACGACATCGACATTTACAACATTAAGGTTGACTGTCGGTGCTTGGGGTGCAATACTCTGGGAAATGCTACTCCTGGGCAGTTGTCTGCCATGTATATGCATGTTCCAAAGGTGATACTCCAGCACATGGTACCGGAAGCGGTACAGCAGTATATTAGTCTATAAATTGTTGGTATAGCATTAACATGAATCTTAATGTTATTTGTGCTCGCTCTCACACGCTGAACTGAGTGAAATGTGAGATGGCATTGAATACAAATTAGCTAGAGGCCCCTAACATAATCTCTGTCCTGAAAATCTAAACTAGCTTTGTACCACACCACTTGCTTGTTTTGCACTCGCAGAACATGACACAGCTAAAGAAAAATTCTACCAAAGACAAACAGCCACCAGACATCATTCACAAGCAAAAGAAGAGATCAGCTGCCGAGAAGACAGCATTAGCAGATGTACAGAGGTGTAAGGAACATGGTATCAAAACTCACCTCCAGGCAAGCAACACAAGGACAAACTATGCTGGGCACGTTCGTCGTGGACGGGAATGGCTGGCAAGCCACTTTGAAAGTTCTACTGTCAGTGAGACTCGGAGGGATGACATCTTTCAAGGCTCACTTGTTCCACTGCTCTCAACTGCTGAAATAACTGCTGACAATGATGTGTATGAGGACCTTGCATTCAAAGATGCATTTGAGAATGTACCAAACAAATGCTCTGACAAAGTGCTCGCTCTGTACATGTCCCTGAAAGGATTCCATGAGAACCTCAGCAAAACTACGGTCAAGAGCATCCATTCAGCATTCAAGAAGATGTGGGAGTTATCATGAGTACATACACGAACATGAGCACATGAGCACTGACCTACGTTTAGAGATGGTGATACCTATTGTGGCAAATAGCACTTCAATGAGGTGAAACAGCGCTGGGAAGGAAATCCCGCTGATTCTGCAGACATCTACGATGTGCTGTCATCCATCAAGCATAAGGCAAGTGCAGAGGGTGGAGATTGGACTCACTTGATGGCGATGATGAAGGACTACATGGATCGGGCATTCCGATGGCACCAGGCTGCATTTCCACTGGATATTGCCCTGCAAATGATTGAGAAGGTGATGAATGGCGCTCAGCCATCAGATATTTGTCTAGACTTAGAAATGAGAATGAAACTCACCTGCCATCTCGAGCAAGTCACATTTGCATCAAACGGATGGACCTTATGGACAAGGTGCGATCCTGCTCATTTGTGGTCCATGCACAATCTGACTTGCATTGGCAGGTGTTTTGAACTCATGAAACTGCAACAGAAGGACATCTCACTTGATACTACTGTTTTGGACAGTGTGCTCAAGATGTACCTTGCAAACGAGATGCTAACACTGAGTAAGTGCACGCTGTACTTTGAGATCTTTCTCATGAACCGGAAAGGATGGCAGAAGAAGGTAGACAAAGGCCAATGGGAGGCGGACTTAAGATGTGAGTTGCTTGTATCAAATTGGAGCTGATAGCGTGTGACTAAATGACCTTACCAGCAAATCATTACAAGATTTATCCATGGCCTGATGCACCAGCGTGTGACAGTTTCTTTTGGATGATGATTTGGATCAAATGACTCGAAATATCTCATTATGGGTGCACCCTCCTGCCAAACGACTTCCTCTTTCCTGCCATGAGTGCAAATGGTGTTATGCATCCTGGACAGCCGATCTCTCACGATACTGTACAAAAATGGATCAATGAGTCTACTACTGGCACTGGAATCCGTGGTAACTTCTCAACTCACTGCTTTTGTCAGGGGGGTGCACAATATTGGTTTATGTTCGCTCCAGTAGGTCAACAGTGGATGCTTGCTAAAGTTCGTTGGTGGGGTGGATGGGCTGATGGTGAGCACATATGTTTCTTGTGCTCACACCTGATGCTTCACTGACACAGCTGTTTTTTTTCTCATCATGTTTATTTTCAGCGTGACAGCTTGTTTGCTACCTTCTCTGATGAATTACATGCATATGAAACTGACTATAGTGGTGCCCTTTCCCCCATCTCTCGTGGCGCTGATGCCTCTCTTGCTGGTGAACATGCACTTACCAGACCAGCATCCACGGAAGAGCTTCACATGGTGCACACATCTGTCGCTGCAGATGTCAACAGCCTGCGCAATGACATGCACTCCCTAACAAGTGTTGTAGTGCAGGCTGCCTGCAGCACAGAAATCGCCCTCCAACACCTCGATTCAAGCCACCGCTTTACCAGTGTCTCTGAGTGTGCCTCCTGCACAACAACTCCACCATATATCACTCAACCTGTCAGAGGAGCACCCACCACAGCCGAATGGCCACTCTCACCCAGACCCATTGTCAGCCCAATGTCTACCATGGCCCTATCCACCTCCAGCACATCATGACAGCCCTGAGTCCCCACCATGGCATCCAGCTCACAAAAACTCCCTACACCTGGCCTCATGATCCCTCGGATTCCAGTCACTCATCCCAACAGCACTTACAGCCCAAAGAACAAATCCTAGAAGGAAATCGTCGAGCACTGGCTTGTTGGCAATCAGGACCGAGGACTGACGACGCCATTGAAAGATTGGCTGAGGAAGTGGTACCAAGGCACCAATAGACGGTTCACATCGAAGTACCACCAAAGGGCGACCATTACACTGGAATTCATCAATCAATAAGCCCCTGCTGTTATCCGCTATTCCAGTACTACTCACCTTCTGTTTTGCTTCCAGGTACAAGTCAAATGAGGCATGCTTCCTTGCAGCTTATCTGGAGGCTGAGCTCAGCCACACACAACTTCTGAAGGCCATGAACAAGGCATGCGCTGCATGAGGGGACCACATGTCTTGCAACAAATGACACTTCGGCTGACAACTTCTTCGTTTCACTTCTCAAGAAGAACATGGCAAAATGTTTTGTTGCTGCATATCAAGAGCATGATGGGCAAACCCATTCGTCTATTCTAAGCTGCTAGGGTGCACAGGGTTGGATCTGGGTGAGAGCTGGATGAGAGCCAATGAGGCTTACCACTCGCTTCCGGCTGTAGTTGATTATAATGTCCACTACCTTACTCGCTGTTGTTAATCATGAGCGCTGTGCTCCTTTTTGCGCTCTGTTTTTCAGTCAGAACTCATGCTGTCACACAAATCTGGTCATGTGCCAGTGAGGTCAGCGAATCCCACCTCAAAAAGGTAATTGATCAGTGTCACGTGCCCTCATGTGGCTTTTTGGCTGAGCGCCACTGTAAATTTCTCGACATAAGTAAGCCTTATAGTGCTGGACAATTACGTGTCTTGCCCAGCCTAACAAGGCTTGGTTGCCTAAATACCCAACAGCAATATATATTGCCCCAAATAATGTCCCAGTACTTTCTCTAAGACTGTGGCTGCAACAACCAAAACAGGTAAGCGAGGCTTTGTTCCCACACCACAGGCAACATTCTGCATGCTGCCGAAACCTTCATGCTTGCTGTTGGCCACAGCGAGCTCAACTACTGCAGTATTTTACCACATTTCCCTGTATTTTTTTTCGCTTTTTCAAGCCCTATTGACTACAAATTGAGTGTATATGAAGGTATGAAGGTAACCAAGGTAGTATGGCTCCTCCTCCTTCATCTCTGGGCCCCATAGCATCACTCCCTGGTCGAAAATAATTCATTTAAAAACAAGAACATTTGTGTATAGTAAAAAATGCGAAATATAGTCACCTAATTACTGGAGAGCACAGGTTCATGTCATATTTATGCATTATTCCTTACAATTGTAACACTAATTTGATGCAACAACACTACAGTTCTAACACCATTTGATGCATGTGTGATGCATGCCCCTTCCAGTAGTTCTCTGTATGATGTGATGCATTCCTCCCTTCAACTGATGCATCCCCACACTACTTACTGATGCATCCCTCCCACCCTTCATTATTTCCCTTCAATTGATGCATCCCCCTGCTGCTTATTAATGCATCCTCCTGCCCCTTGGTTGATGTATCCCTCCTGCCCTTGGTTGATGCATTTCCCCGCTGTAGAGACTCATGCCTCTCATGGCCTGATATGGCAGTTTTCACTAGGGAGTACATAGCATGAACTTGTAGTGTCACTCTGTGCACTACCCGCAGCTATCTCTATATGAGGCGCAGCTTTCCCGTGCAATGCGCGCCATGTGCACACACTTCCCACGCTTCATGATGTATATGCATGCGCGCTTTCCCACGCTTGATCGCCCTATAGCGCCAGCCATCCAGAAGCATCCATCCACTGTCCACCAAGCTCTCTAGTGCATGTGTTTCCATTTCCCTTATTTGCATATCATTCCACCTTACTTTTATCATGGACCCTTACTTATATATATCTTTACATACTAGACCTTACTTGGTAGCGCTTCGGCTCCGCATGACAGCGCTTAGGTACCATATTTAAGCGCCAGCAGTACATACCAACTCCTCACCTTACCACTTTTTCCACCTGACTTCACCTCTCACTTTACCTACTACTTACTACCTAGAAAGTCGCAGTAGAAATCTATTCCTTGACACTTTGCACTCTCATCTCTTGTCTTACATTATATCATCACTTAAGCTTAGTCTCTCATTTCTGCATACCTGCATGCACTTTCCCATGCTTCGCGCATCACGCGCACATGTTCCCGCGCCTTTGTGCCTTGCGCTGTAACACTCGGGCTGGCGCTGGACACATATCTGGTGATAATCATGTTTTATACTCCTCGACACACTTCCAACCTTCTGAAAGTTCCGCGCGTCTGTCCAAGTCGTCCGTCCGATTCCGAGGCCTTTCCTAGCTTTCCCAATCCTCCGTACCATGTCCTGTTCTAGTCCATTTGACTTCGCTGGTGCGTTTCTCATTATTGATTACCTGTTATTGATTATGTCTAGGGGCACATATGTAGAAAACACTTGCTAATACGTATAGATATGCTCCTCGTACGTTATTACACGTATATCTTCGTAGCAGTTTGCCTTGAGTCTTATTACATTTCGGATGTCTTATCTTGCTACAGTTTTTGCCTACATGGATTCTGGACTTTCATGTTGTAGGATATATTCTGGCTCGCTAGGTACTCGCAGGACACTTCACTTCCCTTGCTTCGAGTCATAGTTAGTAGTTGTCACTTCCGGGTTTTAGTACTTTGCAATCAATCTTTGTTCATTCGGAACGATTGTTTGGCGTCACTGCTGCCATTTTTCTATTAAAATCCTTAAGTCTTTCGACAGGCTTCTCTAGTTACACTACGCAAAGTCCTATACTTCGACAACCGCTGTAAGACTTTACCGGAAACCTTGCTGTTTCATCAGAAGCTCGCCAGAAGCTTCGCGCAACCTCAGACCTTCGTTTCTAGATGTCGGACCTATACCGGGCGCTTCGGACAATTCATCGGATACTTTGGACTGTTCTTCGGATCTCTGAATGTACCAGAGGTATACCTCTCTTCTCTCACCTTCGATCTTAACAAGATATCCCTTGCTTTTATATTGAGAGATAATTCTACAGGCAGTCCCTTGGGACGAACATCTCACTCGCACTTTGGAGTCTTAAGGTAAACACCCTTAGTATAAGCCCACTAGAAATCAACTCTTTACAGCGCGCACCTGCGCTTTCTCGCACTTCACTTTAGCGCACACTTCTAGATCCTTGCTGCACTCACTTCCCCTTTAGGGTCGAACACACTTGTCTTCTCAAGTATAGCAGACTAGGCAACGTGCGACCTTACAACATTTACAGATACAGTCAGAAGCCTTGTTCATGCCTCACAGTATTGTTGTTTCTACACCGCCCTCTACCAATGTATTTTTTTCACTTGCACTGCACTATACTGTCACCTATATCAATTGCATAGCTAGCATACTGTACATTACATGCAGGTGAATGGATATGTATTTGTTAAGGATGTTCCATATTGAGAGCACTAGAATCAGCGTGGAACTGGTCTATGAATGTGCATGTGTCTTCCCAACTGGAATGACATACAACTGACAGAGCACAACACAAAGCTGCTTGATGCTGAGCATATGCAATCTTGCCTTCTCTTTCTGCAAGACACTTGGACCAGCTCTGATTCGCACACTCATCCCAAGACATGGCTTGCCAATTAAAGAACTTCAAGATCCTCTGCATCTCCTCCTGCAACAACTCAACCTCCTCCTTCCACCGCATTGCATGCACCCTGGCTTTGCACCATTTGATTTTCATGTCTGGAAGATGTGTGAGATGGGGTGGGATAACAAATCCATAAGTTCACATACCTTCCATAGATTCGTCATTGCCCAACTCATCTCCATGTGCACCCCTCATATTCCAAATCCAAGACAGCTTGCACCTTCCCTCAGTCTGGCCCCACAGGAGATCTGACATTCCCTGGATATCTTCATGATTGAGTGGCCACAGGGAGGACTGCCAGCCTGTCTCCTTGACGAGGGGAGTGAGAATGACCAGCACCTTGCGCGCATCCTGATATTGGCTGAATGTCACCTTGATTCTTGTATTGATCCCTTTGAGTGTGTTATGTACTCTGGTGTTGGCATCTTGACCACGTAGGTTCCAGTCCTTGTACTTGAGGACAGCAGTTTGTGTGCAGAGATTAGAGTGCAGGGAATGGAGGGTATCATCAGCTTGTGCATATCTAAGTTTCCACTCAATGGTCTGAAATTTGAGGTTACAAGTAGTGGTTCCACCAACTTGAGAAGGAAGCAAAAGCTGGAAAGATTCAGGAGTGATGACACTGTTGGCCTTGTCCTGTCGTAGGGCTGCAAGCATTGGCATGTATAGTTCCTGGACTTTGACCCAAGCCTTGATCTGGCACTGAAGACTGTTACTGTGTTGAACAAGCCTACCTTCTTGAGTATCTGTGGCATGAATGCCTAGACCCACCTTGTCAGCTGTAAGATGTCGTCTGATGCATTTTATTAGTGAATACTCGTTCAGCTGAATATCAATCACTTACTGTTGTTCTTCAAATTCTAGGCCACTGCTAATCAGTGTGCTAGGTGAACAATCTTCATGCAGTGCATGGGAGCTACCAAGTTCTATTTCCAATGCCTTGTCTTTTGTGAGTTCGAGATGCACAGAAGCAAGGGTGATGTCTGCATGATGCTGACATCAGATATTATACACAAATAACTTGATGTACTCACTTTCTATGCTTTGTTCATATGGGTTTGGCTGGGAGGTATCACATTCCCATGCCTTGACCTCCTCTTTCCACCTGCTCAATGCTTCTGAGTATTCTTCTTTCAGCCTGTCATATCCCGTATTCCGGACCTACATCCAATAATATTCCCACGCCTCATCCGGACCTTCGGATGTCCTATCCATGTCTCCAGTACCCATCCGGATCCCTGCACCTCTGCACATCCACATCCGCATGTCCACATCCAGATCCCTTATCCTTCGCAGCTAGCCTGCATCATTTATCCTTGTCCCGTTGCCCTAATGCCACATTCTATATATCCACGCATCTCATCCGGACCATATCCGATCCGGTCCGATCCGATGTATAGATCTGTTTCCTATCCAATATACGATAAGCTTTGTAATTCATTTCCTGTGCATATAACATTAACACAGCCTATCCGGTATTCCTTGTTACCGTTACCTTGGTTATATCTATTACTGGTATGCTTACTGATCTGTTAACCTATGTTCATTTCCGACTCGTGTTTGTCAACCTCTGCATATGCTTCGTACATAGCCTTGGACTCTGCTTATTGATCCTTCCGTTATTTCTCTTAGTATATAAACTCGTGTATATGTCTTGTAGTACCTCAGTCTGAATATCATATTAGTCCTCGCACTAGTCTTCACTCTAAGTCCTCATATCAGTTCTAGTCTTCCAACTTAGTTGTTATCCATCTCAGGCCTAGGGAGTTTCTCCCTAGGCCGGAGCTCTGCTTATCTGATACTCCGCTCATCCGCTCATCCGATCCTCCGTAGTTTCCGGAAGTTCATCTGGATCTTTCCCGCGGTCCTCCGGACCTATTCTGCTTCGGACTTTGTCCTTGCAGCCTTTCCTCTGTTTACTTCTACTCAGGACAAGTCCCGAGTAGCCATTATACATATCCGTATCAGGACGAAACCTCATCGTAATTTCCGGAACTTTCCCACACTCATCCAGAAGTTACTTGCACCCGTCCGGAAAGTCCTTCCGAAGTTTCCCGCACCTTCGGATGTCCTTCGGACGTCTTCGGACTTTCCTCGGACACCAATCTGAAATTAAGGGCACATGCTTGGGTAAGGGGCGCAGCGCACGAGCTGAAGCCAAGCCCCTCAGAATCAGTCCTACCCTTTGTGCATGGTCTTAACACAGCCCTTCTTCAAGATCATCCAGAGCTGCTTCATGTTCTGATAGTTTGGGCAAGGCATCTTTCATCTTACGCAACATTGTGTGACCTGAACATGCATTAGTGATGCATCGGTACACAGCACCTCTTTCTGTAAAAATAACTTATGTAGACCAGCGATCTTCCTCCAGTTCCAATCCCCAAAAAAATCATCCAATGTGTCTTGTCTCACGCCTGGACCCATCTCTTTGGTGCTTGATGCCACAGGGTTGATATTTGCCCACCCTCACTCCGGAGCTTCTCCATCTGTTCGTCTGACCCTGGGTGCAAAATTGAACAAAAATCTAGTTTGGCATTGTTGAATGTGAGCAGGTAGATGGAATTTAGGGACAAAGAAGGTAATTTTCTTGGTGTCATGGTTCAGTCGCATGGAAGGGGGAAATGACATCATGTGATGCCATAGATTCTTATTCCATTAGCACACAATATCATATGAGACATTGAGAATATCAACAGTGGTATGCTGAAGAGTCAAAAAAATAGATAATCCATATTTATGTATCTAGATGTGGTGGAATATCAGTATTTACAGTTGTCTGAGTCTGACATATACCAAACTCACTTTTCTCCTTTCTGGAGGTCCCCAACTGCTGTCGGTAGCTTCATGTTGTGGTGAGCACAGTCAATGGTACCCAGCCCCGTAGCTGCCAGACCATGATGTAGCACTCAAGCTCGCACTAGGCTCGTATTCAGCCATTTCACACATCACATCAAATGTCCGTCACACGATATCCACTTCCCAATGCAACCTGACACATACCCACCACACCCGACACTTTGACTAGTGGACCTGACACATCAGCTGCATTGGACCCAAACAGGTGAGACTACTGTCAGACCTAGTCAGAGCTACTGTAGTACTCTTAGCCTAATATTGAACCTGCTGCCAAGGAACTCACAATGAGTATTCAAACAGACTCAGGAACAGGTGGCCTTGGACTTCAATACCAAGTCCCCTTTTCAATAGCTAAAGCCTAACTCACAAATGACTACTTTGGCCCAGTATAACACGCAGATGTCTGAGGTCAGTGATTCACTGTCAACACCTAAAGTCTCCCCACAAGACTATCCTAAGTCTTCAGTGGACAAAAGAGGCAACACCAAACTTCTGGGTAAGAATGAGACTGAAACTTTGATACTTGAGAGAAAGTTGATAGGAAGGAACAACAACACAATCAGACCGCTACAACAGAAACACTAACACTGTCATGTTCACAGAGACTGTTAGCAACACACAGAGATGGTAATCACAGAGATAGGATTTGTAAGCTTTCCCACAGGATAACCTTATGCAAATATATTTTTCATAGTCACCTGATATGTGTGAAAATCTTTCTGAGTCATCCTCATGGCTGACTAAGCAAAACTCATTGCAAAATTAAATGGACAAAAATATTCAGTCCGCTCACATATAATCTCATAAAATGAAAAAAGCGAAAAATATTCCCTTAGCCTCAGTCTGACTTCAGGTCACAGAAAAAAATGATTTCATAGGGCATAGGGCTCATAGGAGAGTATTAGTCATCCATGCACTGAACCAGTTTGGTGCAGGTCACCGCAGCGCCTCGTGTTTATTTACAAAACATCAGATCCGAAATTCTTTGGCTGCTACTTTTGCCTATAGGGTTCTGAATTTCTATGTACTTATATATATATCAGTTTCCACATAGCATATTCATCATCCAAGTAGTAGGGAGCCGTTTCCCAATGCTTTGTGGTCAAAACCCGATATCCTGTAGTTCTTAGTTGACATTGCAAATATTACTGCTCTTTTTATCCGAAACACCCGCTGTAGAAACAACAATACAATGAGGAACAAAAGAAGCTCCTGACTGTATCTGTAAAAGTTGTAAGGTCGCGCGCTGCCTAGTCTGCGTTACTTGAGAAGCAAGTGCGTTCGACCCTATAGGGGAAGTGAGTGCAGCAAGGATCTAGAAGTGTGCGCTTAAGCGAAGCGCGAGAAAGCGCAGGAGCGCGCAAGGTACAAAGGCGCGGGAACGCGCAAGGTACAAAGGCGTGGGAACGCGCGCGCGTATTAGCGCGAAGCGCGGGAAAGTGCGTGCGCATATGCGGAAATGAGAAACTAAGCTTAAGTAGTGATATAAAGCAAGATAAGAGATATAAGAGTGCAAAATGTAAAGGAATAGCTTTCTACTATATTCTGCTAAGTAGTAAGTGGGTAGTAACTAGTAAGTGAAAAGTAGGAAAAGTAGGTCCAGTGTAGTATGTACTGCTGGCGCTTATATAGCGCGCCTAAGCGCGCTCATGCGGAGCCGAAGCGCTACCGAGTAGGTATGTAAAAATATATATGAGTGAGAAACTATGATAAAAATAAAGGTGGAACTATGCTAATAAAGGAAATGGAAATATACATACTAGGGAGCTTGGTGGACAGTGGATGGATGCATCTGGATGGCTGGCGCTATAGGGCGCGCAAGCGTGGGAACGCGCGCGCGCGTATACATCGTGAAGCGTGGGAATGGTGCGCGCATGGCGCGCGTTGCGTGGGAAAGCTGCGCCTCATATAGAGATAGCTGCGGGTAGCGCACAGAGTAATGCTATGAGTTTGTGCTGTATACTCCTTGGTGAAAACTACCATATCACGCCATGAGAGGCATGATTCTCTACACCGCCGTTATCAATAATCTGCATACCGCTCGCTATACCCGATGTTTCCTTCCAAACCTGATGCAAACCCGCACCTGAAACCCACTAACCTGCAAAACCCAAAAACATTGGCTGACACTTTGGCATTAGACTAGTAATTATACCCATGGATTCTGTTTCTCGTGCTCAGACTTTTGACACTTTATTGATTGACTAACTATAGACTTATTCCAATAGCAAACCCCTCGGGTCAAACACACTTGTCTAGCAAGTATAGCAGACTAGGCTGTGCAAGACCACTACAACATTTTTATATTGCTGACACTTCATATAGTATCAAGCATTGTTGTATCTTTACAATGATTTGATTTGGTATCTGCCATGTTCACCGCATTGTGGCTTGAACAAGTAGACTTCTGTTTGATATGGTATCAGTATAGAAAATAACAACTACCAAAAAACTCACCTCCTGGCTAATATCAGAATTATCATTCAGGAAGGCCTTGTATGCACTTTCCTCAACGAAGTATCCCCAGCCATTACTAAGGCTAGGGTCCAAGCTATCTTTTGACACAACTTTACATTTCAGCTGGAAATTTGTGTCAATGGCCACAAATAGGCCATACAACCAGCGTTTAGTGAGGGGGGCCTCTCTCCAGTTGGATGGTAAGTTCTTCCCAGGCTGCAGGCAGGCTGGACATAGAACAGCATATGCACCCTTTGTTGGGATCGTGCGCTCTTCCAGATCGCTTGAGCATTTTGAGATGACGCCATTCATGTATCATCCTCATGAATGAGTCATATCGATCCTAAAGAGAAATAAGTCAATGTCTCACATGGTGCTGGAATAGGACCCACTTTGATAGGACTGATCCCTGTGTTATCAGACCTCCACATTAGTGCATAATAAAACTCATAGGCAGACACCTTCGACTCGAAGGACAAGAGGTGAAATTTTTCTAGAAGGCGAAATGTAGCAGCCATTTTAGGGTCTGCAGTAGTTGAAGGAAATAGTGACATGCTGAAGGAGTTGTTGTACATGGGTTGTTGCCAGAGTGCAGTCACAAAAATCCAATGCTACCTCATGGATGCCATGAGAATCTATAATGACAAAGTCATCATTGAATGCACGACAGGGATTGGGACATGTATGACCTATTTGCGTGACCAAGCTGGATCCGAAAAACTAAGGCTCTTCAGGCTTGCAGATTCAAAGTAATCACTGTTCCATTTCTGTAGTATGTCTAGTTAGTTCATATCCTGCATTATTGAGTAATTTAGCACCTACCTGTAACCAATGTAGTGGGTGATTCTTGTGCATCATCACTGTGCAAGAGGAACAACAGAGTTCAATCCCAAAACAGTCTTCACATCAATATTCTGGATGTGGATTACCACAACCAGAACAGGGCTCTGCCCTAAGGTCACCTCATCCTTCAAGTCATAACATCTCCTCAAGGAACAGGGCACAATCCTTGAGCCACATTAGCAATGGATGATTCTGAATAATGTTAGTAGCAACAAAAAGTGTGATTCTGTCTTATTGACTTACTCCCATAGCACTTCATCTACTTGGACATTCAACATCATCATTGGCGCCCCATGATAGATTGGGTGAATATTCATTAAATTCTACGTGCGCATTGAGTTCAGCACATGCAGGCAGATCAGGTCGCATGGTTGGTTGAGCATTTTTGGGAGGTTGAACATATCTACATGTATAGCTTATAGAGCCATCTCCATGGACTTGATACTGCATGTGTTGTTGTTGCTTGGGTCCTGAAGGCCTGGGATGTGAGTAAGAATTGAGGCTCAGCCTTTTCTGACACTTCTTAGCCCTTGATAGACTAGAGTCCATAATGAAGCAACTGATCAAACTTGAAATTCCTGAATCATACAGCATACAGTGAATCTTTAGTTGTACATATCTCAGCCTTCTGTTAAATTTCAAATAAACAAGCTCAAACAACCTTCAAACACACATAAGTCATTGTGCAGCTCTATCGTTGTTGTCATCAAGGTACTGTAGTATTGTGCTTGGTTGAAGTTCCTGTGTGAGTATTTATCTTCAATACTGTATGGCTGTATCTCACTCATTTGACTTCCCAACAATGGCTACCAACAATACCAGCTCATCCAATGATGACGCTCAAAGCAGCCTTGGTGTGTTTTTGCCTGTCACTGACTCAAATACTTTGGTAATCCATACATATTTCAGATGCTGTATTGCAAGTTGTGCAACTGCTGTCACATGATGATGCACAATCACTCGTTGAAGTGATCACTGACCAGATACAGGCCACTGCACTTCCTGCTGTGCGGCCAGCTCCTGCTCCCATCGTCCCAGGTCAACCTCAAGTTCAAGGTCATCTTTTTCTTTACTTTTTCATATTTCCTAACAATCAAATATCAGCTCAGTGCCTCCTGCAGTTAAGTTTCATTCCCTAACAGTCAAAGCTCCCATCATCTCAGGTCAACCTCAAGTTCAAGGTCATCTTTTTCTTTACTTTTTCATATTTCCTAACAATCAAATATCAGCTCAGTGCCTCCTGCAGTTAAGTTTCATTCCCTAACAGTCAAAGCTCCCATCATCTCAGGTCAACCTCAAGTTCAAGGTCATCTTTTTCCTTACTTTTTCATTCCCTAACACTCAAATATCAGCTCAGCATGCCCTGCAGTTCAGTTACAGGCCGCTGCACTTCCTGCTGTGCAGCCAGCTCCTGCTGCCATTGTCCCAGGTCAACCTCAAGTTCAAGGTCATTTTTTTTTTACTTTTGCATTCCCTAACGCTCAAATATCAGTTCAGCGCCTCCCACAGTCCAGATACAGGCCACTGCACTTTCTGCTGTTGTGTAGACTTATCCTACCCCGATGACGCGCTCTGGCTTCTACTGTTTTCCACATCTCCCACTGACTGAAGTCATCATTAATGGTAAAACAAGGGGACAGCAGCATTATTGTGGATTTATATTCAATGTTCCACGTGCTGCGGCCCTTGGTCCATTCTACCTCATTACCCACAGTCGCCAGGTAGGTGTCTTTGAGACATGGTGCGTATTTTCATTGGTTCCATGTTCTTACCCTGATTCTCTTGCAGGCAACACACATCCCCTTATGTACTTAGTGTTAGCTATTCCTCTTTCAGCCACTACAAGTCAAAGGATGATGGTTTATTTGCATGCTTGATGTGATAGACCTCGGAGAAGCACAGTGGCTTCCTTAAGTATGACCTTTGCTTGTACCTACTCTATGTATCATGTACCACCGGTTGCCCCTAATGAAAACCTTGCTGATAATCAAATATGACCATGGTGAACTCAGAAAGAAACTCAACCAGCGAGGAGCATGGAGGAAGCGCAGCATGATGATACTGATTGGTTGAAGTCGAGTCACCGCTAACTACTGGAAGTGATCCACTAATTAATGAGTAGTTCCAGAAGAGATTCTATACCTGTGAATCAGGGACTAGGATGTAGACCCAGGCCAGAGTACTAACACTGGTTGGCAGGAACTGAAGACAGCACACAGCAAAGACAAGTTCTGTACAATACAAGGGTCCTGAGGGCATGAATATCAGGCAATGCTCAAGTTTTATAATAATTTGATGTAAGTGACTGTTGATGACAGTGACTCGATGGTGCAGTATCAGGAAGCATCAATAGCATGATAGTGATTGTGTTCTGTAACATATCTGGTAATTGTACAGTGCAACATTGCCTGAAAGACTTTGCCAGGATAGATAGAGCTGAAGTTTGTGCTGGTAAGAACTTGCATGTGTTGCTGGATCATCAACATACTCATATAGTAAAGGTCATAACTCATGACTGGCAGTGGCATTCTCACATCGTCTTGCATCATCATGTAGAGTTGTTGAGCTGGAAGATAATTGAATGTGAAGTTTAAGACAGATATTCAGGACAGATAAAGCTGAAGCTTCAAGTTGCACTAGTAAGGACTTGCATGTGTTGCTAGTGATTCGGAAACTCATGAAATCGACTCAAAGGATGAATCATATATTGTACACGAAGATCGCTACATAGAGTTGTTGAGCTGGAAGATAATTGAATGCGAAGAGCTGTCACTTTGTTGTAGGGAGTTTTATAGGAGTTTTACAACATTTTACAACATACTGCTCTGCTACAGGGTATGAATGAGTGTTTCATCGAGCATAAATAGTGCAGTGTATTATGTAGACACTCACATTGTTGCTTGTGAATAGAAACTTCGAGGGAGAGTAGGTGTATTGAGAAAACAACCGTACTTGTGAAGACACATCTAACTTCAATTGAACATTGTACACTGGCAGGACTGCACCATGAGACCATCATGAACAGTTGTATTTATAAAACAAGCAGTACTACTAGTAAGCATCAGTGGGTGTATCAACATCATGCCAACTGGGTCTTGTCACCTGCATCTTTCAAGTTTCAAGCCTGACTTAGAAGTTCAATTGTGTTGCTATGAGTCCAACCTCTCTCCACAAAAGTTTTCAAGCTTGCAATTCATTCATTCTCACTAGTATCAAGGTATGCAAACTCTTGCATGTTTCACAGAACTAAATTATATGTTTTGGTGACAATCTTGCAGTCCACAACAGTGGAGTACAAAAATAGTACTATTTCACTTCTTTCTCAGACCTCAACTCATCAACATTTTAATACTTATTCATTTTAATGTTAGCATGCCAGTACCATATTTTTCAACCGAACAGCACCGCTGGTTGGATGACCAGGTGGTCAACTATGAACACTGCTACAAGATCAAAGATCTCATCATTTTCTGGACTGACATATTTGAGATCTTCTTCGTTTGTTGGTCAGAGCACGAGGTCTTATTCCCTAACATACCTAGGCCCACTCCCCAGTGTCTCACTGAAGAGCAGAAGCAAGCAGTCAATGATGCAGTAGTGATAAGGAAATATGTGGGTACCTCGCTAACCTTTGCACTGCACAAGCTGACCACTCAATCATCATAGTGCCTTCAGGCTTAGTTCCATTACAAAAGATCCCTGCATACCAGCGCTCTAACAGGATACATCCCATTCACGATTGTGTCCGTGCATGATCACACAGTGGTCTTGCAGGAGGAGTGTGCAGATTGGACAGATATTACAGCTGACGAGCTCGACATTGGCAATGCAGGAGGTAATAGTGGTAATGAGGCTGAGGCAGATGAGGAGTAGATAAATTTAGACACAAGCAATCAATTAATCAATCACTTAAAATTATCACTCACAAGACCGCCTCAGAGTAGTAGCTCTATTTACATCATTCAAGTTTAAATTTTAGCTATTGACGAAGTGCCTACCCTTTTGGATTACTCACTGTACCTGTTCAAGATTGTGAATCACAAAATATTGGGCCTGTGCATGAGATAGCAAATGCAACAATCTCGCATACATATAGTTTATACATGGCCACTGTGAGGGGATTTTCATTCTGCGGCCCTAGTGTGAAGTTTAAATTTTGCACTAACCTAATTAGACATATGACAGTGTATGACCATCTTGTTATTTTATTACACTTATGGAGACTAACACACCCAATAGATGCCTGCAACATGATGGACTATAAGGAACAGAGAGAATGGCTTCAAGAATACCTGCCCCAATATATGACTGAGCACCTGAAAGACAAGAATTACTCTCACTTTTGGCCTGTGCTGAATGCAGAATGGTTTAAGTGGTTATGTTTCCTGACATTCCCACTGATACTCTTTCAGCAGAGGAAAATATTGCAGTGGACAAAGCTAAAATCAAGTGCAAAGTGGTAAGCCCCTCTATATAACAGGTATATAGCAACTTCAGACTTGGTTTTGCTGGCATGCAAATGCATCCAAGAAAAATTGCAGCCCGAAGAAGGAATCAACAGTTTTCAATGACATGCTACAGCCAAAAAGACGTGCCAAGTCCAAGGCCGAGATATACTCTGATATCTACTATAACAAGCGCATCAAGCCATTGGTGAAGGCTGAGGAAGAGGTTGGGAATGTAAGTTCAGGTAGATGTGTTGCGCTGGGTTGCAAATTCTCCAAAGAGTTGCTAGAAGATGAGGATGAGGATGTCAAAGCTCAGGTCCACAAAATGTACGAGCAGCAGTGGAGAACTCACGAGAATGCTGCCAAAACAAATGTTTTAGATGATGATGAGGGTGACTGCATGCTTGATGCAGAGGCAATCACACAGTATGTGTTCAAGTTGATTCAATCAGAGATTTAACAGCTAATGTTCAACATGTAGGGGTATAGATGACTTATCAATTATCTGCCAGTGATTTGCACACCTCGTCAAGAAGAAGACAGGGTTTGTCATTGTAGAAACAACAATACTGAGAGGAACAAATGATGCTCCTGACTGTATCTAAAAAATGTTATAGGTCGTGTGTTGCCTAGCCTGCATTACTTGAGGAGACAAGTGCGTTCGACCCTAAAGGGGAAGCGAGTGCAGCGAAGATCTAGAGGTATGCACTGAAGCAAGGCACGAGAAAGCACGCAGGTGCGGGCAAGGCACGAAGGCGTGGGAATGCACGTGCGTATTGCGCGAAGCACGGGAAAGCGCGTGCGCATGTGCAGAAATGATAGAGAGACTAGACTTAAGTGATAATATGATGCAAGAGATGTCAGAGTGCGAGATGTAAAGGAATAGAGTTCTACTATGTTCTGCTAAGTAGTAAGTAAGTAGTAACAGGTAATTGGGAGGTAAAGTAAGTGGTAGGAAAAGTAAGTTGGAAAGTAAGTAGTACTATGTACTGCTGGCACTTATATAGCGCGCCTAAGCACTGTAATGCGGAGCCAAAGCACTACCGAGTAGGTATGTAAAGATATATATGAGTGAGAATCCATGATAAAAATAAAGACAGAACAATATGCAAATGAGAGAAATAGAAATATACACACTAGAGGGCTTGGTGGACAGTGGATGGGTGCTTCTGGATGGCTGGCGCTATAGGGCGCTCAAGCATGGGAACGCGCGCACGCGTATACATTGTGAAGTGCGGGAATGGTGCGCGTTGCGCGGGAAAGCTGCGCCTCATAGTGGAATACCTGCAGATAGCACACAGAGTGATGCTGCAAGTTTGTGCTATGTACTCCTAGTGTAAAGCGCCATATCACACCATGAGAGGCATGATTCTCTATATCGTGTCTGTCATATTTGCTGGCCCAGACCCAAGAAGTGACTAGGATATGACATCATTATTGTAAGTCACAAAATAGATACTATTTTAGGATTCATGCTGACTCACATATGAAAGGTGTCATCCCTCCGAAACTCTGCAAGGAAGGAACTTTGCACAGTTATACCAGATGGCAGAAATGGAGTTCCTAGAGGCTTTTCAGCATTATGCAGAACTGATATTCCATGAGTTTATTTTTTCAATCAGTTGCTGGTTGACTCACTTAGTTTGTGTTGTTCCAGCCTCTGATAAGCACAAGCCCGAGTTTGCTGTAGGGAATGACAATGGGGTGGTGTTGCAAACAGACTCTGATGATGGGGAGCACAGAGAGTGCGATGAGACATTTGAGATGGATAATGAAGAGGAACCCAAAGGGCATGATGAGACTGAAGAGGCAGAGCAGCAAGATGACTCTGAAGATGGGAGCGCTGGGATGATGGATGTTGGTGAGTAGATCGACCTTTACAGTGGCTCAAAAAAGTGTCCCAATGTTTATAGCTTTTCATGTAATTGCTATATCATGTGTCAAGACGTGGGAATATGACTAAACTACAGGGAAGTGTCAGAAAGGTCTGCGTCTCAGCTTCATTTCGGTTCCCTATACCGTGGGAAAATAATGACATTATGTGAAGATAGTGTCATTTTAATTTGATGACTCATTGGGACACTTTTTTGACTTTGAGTTTAACCAATGTAATCTCTATAATTCTAGTACTTTGTGTGACCTCCTTTTGCCTTAATCATGTCTGCCACTCTTCTAGACATATTCTCTATCAATTTTGGGTATTCCTCTTTGGTATTTTCATCATACTCTGCTGTAACACTGTCTCATAGTTGGAATAGCCCCTATGGTAGATCTTGATATGCTACAAGCAATTTCTTGAGTGATTCTCAGGGGTATTCAATAGGGTTGATATCTTGGGTCTATGCTGAACATGATAGAATAGTAATATCATGGTCTTCAAGCTATTGGTGGCTGTTTTAGAGGTATACTTAGGGCCATTGTCTTATGACAAAACAGTATCTTCTTCATTAACTCATAACTCCTGCATGCTTCTTAGCAGACACTCCTGTCAAATGAGTATTTACTACTCTGTATTCATCCTCCCCTTTGCTTCATAGAAGATTCCCACTCCATTTTATCTCATATAGTCCTATACCATCAAGTTTTCGTCTTGAAACTTAAGGTGTTTATTTAACTTTTCTTTATCTTAATGATTGTCCTATTTATTTTAATACAAATTCCTTGCCATATGATCTCATCCTATTGATTTTAACCTTATCTAACTAGATAAACCTCTTTCAGCTATTAGCAGTCCAATATTTGTACTTGAAAGTAGCATCTTGTCTTTTCTTTTTATAGGTTGGAGACAGAAGAATCTGTTTTTCTTGATTATAGCTTTAATATGGGCTGTCTTGAGAGTCTGTCTGACTATTTGAGTAGAGATAGTCATAGGAATGATGGAAATAATCAATTTAGTCGCTTTATTAACATCAGCAGCCTTTCCAATTAGAATATAGTGATTAAGAGATCTCGAGTCTTATAGAGCAACCTTCTAGATTGGCTATCAAATAACTTAAAGACCATAATATTACTATTCTATCATGTTCAGCATAGACCCAAGACATCAACCCTATTGAATACCCCTGAGAATCGCTCAAGAAATTACTTGTAGCATATCAAGATCTACCATAGGGGCTATTCCAATTATGAGACAATGTTACAGCAGAGTATGATGGAATCACCAAAGAGAAATACCCAAAATTGATAGAGAATATGTCTAGAAGAGTGGCAGAAGTGATTGGGGCAGAAGGAGGTCACACACAGTACTAGAATTATAGAGATTACATTAGTTAAACTCAAAGTCAAAAAAGTGTCCCAATGAGTCATCAAATTAAAATGACACTATCTTCACATAATGTCATTATTTTCCCACGGTATAGGGAGCCGAAATGAAGCTGAGAAGCAGACCTTTCTGACATCTTCCTATAGCTTAGTCATATTCCCATGTCTTGACACATGATATAGCAATTACATGAAAAGCTATAAACATTGGGACACTTTTTTGAGCCACTGTATATGTGGGGTCCATTAGCTGATGCATTCGTCTCATGCATCAGAAGGCTCCTTGCTGATAACATCACCTGATGCATCACTAGGTCATTCATCAGGCACGGGAGTAATTCATGCAACTAACCTGTCGGTAAGTGCCTGAACTTTATCTATTCTTGACTGTTCTATTATTGAATATGCTATATGTCACAGTCTAATAATACTAGTGTTCACATGTTGCTACTCGAGGGATCATTCCAGTCATCAGCATATCCTTTGCCATCACACATGGCTAATCACAATGGCTTCCTCGTCCCAACTGTCAATGCACATCTACCAGTCTACAGACCCTCTGTATCCAGCAATGTGGCTCCCAATTCTTTTATGCCAGTCTACGCCCCCAACATCTCCAGCAATTCAGTTCCCTAGTCTTTCAACTATGCGCTCCCCATGCCTACTGATGTGTTCATGCCAGTCTACTCACCCTCAATAATAACATCCAGCTTCTTGTTCAGTGAGACATTGCACAACATGAATTGGAACAATCCAATGTTCCACACATCTCCGAACACCACCAAGTGGCTACAAGAACAAATGTCCCCAGTTTCAGGCAGAATGTACCAGCTTCTTGCCTGAAGCCAGTGATGACTCACTTCCTGTACTGCCTCATCCCACTCAACCACTCTCAGTACTGCCTTATCCTACTACCGAGGGCACATCCGATAATTCTATCGCTCTTGCCACCAAGCCCAGTGTGGAACCTGTTGCTACAAAGTCAACTACCTGCAAGGCTGTCCTCAAGCCAAAGGCTGCCACCAAGCCCAAAGGCCATGTTAAGTCTATTGGTAATCGCACTGTCTCCCAGTCGTCTGGCAAACCTATGTCAGCTAAGTTGTATCCATCAGGTATCCCAGCTTCAGGCAGCGCCAGTTTGACGAGTGACTCTATGAAGACTGGGGGACATACATCCAAGCATGTCCCAATCAAATCCAGGCACAATGAGCTGGCAGATGCAATTGGAACTGATATTGGCTTGTCTGCAGAGGTGTAGTCTTCATTGAAATGACCTGCACAGAGCAAACCTGCTAGTGCAGGTGCTCCCAAGTATGTCACCCTACTCATCTCTGGGTTCTGCATAAGCTGACGGCATCACAGGAAAAAGCAGGCAAAGGCCTAGTCCTTGTGTGGCCAGATCGCCATATCCTCTCGCACCACAACTCACATAATGTTACTGCCATATAGTCTTAGTTGATAGTTGTCCTTACAATCTTGATAATATCTTGTACCATGGTTGTGACCTTAAATAACAACTTGTCTTTTGTCCTGTTCGTTGTAGTGCATTGCAAGTATACTTAGTAAAATTTTAGGCAGTACATGATGCATCACTGAATGGGTGCTACAGACTTCGTAAAATTAAGAAGTATGGTCAGATGTTGTGATGCATCATTGGGTCCATGCATGATGCTACATACTTAGTGGGTGTTCCTGTACATGTAGGACTTCAACAATAGATACGGGTATAGTACTACAGCATCATATTACTAGTACTACTAAGAAGTTTGACAACAAATATAGGCCGGTAGAACAACCACACACATGAGAGAATGGGTTTTGCTGTGTGTTTGCACTGAGGCTGCGTATTAAGAGGAATGCAGGTAGATATTGGTATGTGGGAGGCCAGCACTGGTTGCTATAAGTGGACAGGGATGGCGCATCAAAGAAGGTATGCGCATGCAAAGAGGATGGCACAGGCAACAGTGAAACAATGCATCATGGTGCATCATATTAGTGTGTGGGAGGCAGGATGCCGCATCAAAGAAGGTGCACGCATGCAAAGGGGACGGCACAGGCAATGGCAGGAGGAAGGAAACAATGCATCATGGTGCATCATATTAGTGTGCGGGAGGCCAAGCACTGGTTACTATAAATGGACAGTGACGCCGCATCAAAGAAGGTACACACGTGCAAAGGGGACAGCAAAGGCAGCAGCAGGAGGAAGGAAACAATGCACTGGCATCTTGGTGCATCACAATTCTAAAGGGCTGACAGTGATGATGCATTATGTATAACCTATTAATATATATTGCATCATGATGCAATGTATTTGCCTGCTTGTAGACTGTAGCATTATTGCATCACTTGAATCCACCACATCAGCATCTTCAGCAGCTACAGGGATATGCAGCCATGTCATTGGAGTAGCTACTCAATGTGTAAACTAGTATTTCAATGTTTTTTTCGTGCTTACCAATGAAAATTTTGGGTTCGGTTCGAGTTCGGACCGGAAAAAAACCGAACCGGACCACAGAGAACGGTTCACAGTACAATTGTGCAATTTTTTTTACCATTAATACTAATTAAGGCGCGAATACGGGGCGAAGAGCGAAAGGGCGAAAAAGCCAATCTTGAAACGTCCTCCTTGGGAGCCGAGGCCAGGTACCTACCCTATACCCAGCACCTTATACTGCTCCAAAGGTCAACCTTTATTAAATAATTATTCATTTGGGTGCGTGCAGCAAAACACCCGTCGAATTAGACCCGCCATCAGGCCCAGCTGTCGCGTCTAATTAGCCTGGTTACGTGGGAGCCACAGATGTGATAAAGGCTTGCCAAGTCAACAAACCACCTATTGCATCCCACCTTCTCCTCCGGCCTTGATGCAACCCAGGCGGCTTCATGAATGACAACGCGGGGCGGTTCTTCGTCATCGTCATCATCACTCTCAGACGCATACTCGTATGATTCACAGTCGCTGTGATGTACCGCAGCGTTTTGCATGTGCTGACATAAAAGGAGCGTGAGTTGGGTGAAAAATGGCAACAAGCGCTCCCCGCACCTGATCCAGTCCAGTAAAAGTATAGAATAGTCTGTCGCAATCCTCGCAGAAGGGGTGGTCAACTCTGTCGCGACAGTGGGCAAACAATGCCTGAGTGGAACGAAATGAACGATCGCATTGATCACACTGTATCATGATAGTGGAAGTCAAGACGAAGGTCGCCACAAGGTTGTCGAAGTATTCATTCGAATTTCCAAGTATGAACTTAACGTGACCATGAGGCTGCAACGTTGTTGCCAAGAAGCTTGAAAGGGGCACGAATGTTTGCCAATTGTTTAAGGCGGCCCTGACTCTGTGACAAGCATTACTATACGAATCCTTGTGCCAGATATGTATGTCCCTAAGTTATCATGATGATTCTGTTGTCGTGAAACATCTGACAATGGGACACGCGCATCAAGCAAGGTCGTGACATGCTAGACAAAATTTGGCTCGGCAGCCTCAGCTAGCCAGTCATCTAGTTGCTACTGGCTTGCAAGCGGCCGGGCCCGTATGGAATAGAGTCACCTGCGCAGGTATAATCATGGTAAGAAAATGAGTAAGAAGGCGAGAAACAATAGTCGAGTAGGAGACCTGTGACCATTAGCATTCAAGAACAATGTTTACCTGAAACACTGGCAGCAGAGTTCAATGACTACAAACCAAACTTGTAAGTGGTCGCCGGGAAGACGAGAAGAAGGAAATTTGTTCTGGTTTGGAGTTGTGGCTGTGTTTTCAAGCTCAAGGCTACTGCGTGTTTCGCAGCTCAAGTCACGGTCTAGCCTCGTTCATTTCTGTAATTCTTTGCCCTTGTCCATCATCTAGTCTGCCCATCATGTCCACAGGTCTCGGTTCAGAAATCGTGTCTGTCATTAACAAACTGCAAGACGTATTCTCCGCCGTCGGTACCTCAGCATCCCAAATAGACCTACCACAGATTTGCGTGCTTGGAAGTCAAAGTAGTGGTAAGAGTAGTGTGCTTGAGGTTCGTACAGCGACATTCGATGTGTATGAAGTGCACTCCTTACACTAATGCATTAGAACATCGTTGGAAGAGATTTTCTTCCTCGTGGTACTGGTATCGTGACACGGCGACCACTAGTCCTTCAACTCATTAATCGTCCCGCAACTGCGCCTCAAGCGAATGGGACACCAAATCGTAGGCCTCCTTCCTTGGCTCTATTTACCTAGCTGACTTGTGTTACAGCACAACTAAATGGCAGTGATAAGCAGGCGAACGAATCGGAGTGGGGTGAATTCTTGCACCTTCCTGGCGAAAAGTTCTATGACTTTAACAAAATTCGTGCCGAAATCGTTCGAGATACAGAAGCTAAGACTGGTCGCAATGCAGGCATCTCACCACAACCCATCAACCTACGCATATTCTCTCCCAACGTCCTTACTCTTACTCTCGTCGACTTGCCCGGTCTAACCAAAGTCCCTGTCGGGGACCAACCGAAAGACATTGAAAAGCAAATCAAGGACATGCTGGTCAAGTATATCTCGCGGCCAGCATGTATCGTCTTGGCTGTCACCGCTGCCAATACAGACTTGGCGAACTCCGATGGTTTGAAGCTAGCTCGGGAGGTTGACCCAGAAGGAACGAGAACGATCGGTGTTTTGACCAAGGTCGACCTTATGTAGGTCCATGCTTTTACAGCGGTGTATTTTTTGAAACTAACGCGCCAAAAGGGACCAAGGAACGGACGTTGTGGACATCCTTGCAGGGCGCGTCATTCCGTTACGTTTGGGATACGTGCCAGTGGTAAACCGAGGGCAACGCGACATCGACACATCCAAGACAATTGGCGCTGCATTAGACGCGGAGCGCAGCTTCTTTGAGTTGCACCCTTCATATAAAGGGAAAGCCCAGTATTGCGGGACTCCTTTCCTTGCCCGTAAGCTCAACATGGTGTGTGCCTCAATTGCTCTCCACCCACTGCAGATTTATCACTAACATCTTCCTCCCATCTTAGATTCTCATGCAACACATCCGTGCCACTTTGCCCGACATCAAAGCCCGTATAAGCCAGCAGCTTCAGAAATATAGTGCCGAGCTGGCAACTCTGGGCGGTCCCTTGGGTGATGCATCCTCCGGCAACATAGTCCTTTCGGTCATTACGGAGTTCACAAATGAATTCCGAACGGTCATCGACGGTAACACCAACGACCTCTCACTGAATGAATTAAGTGGTGGTGCACGAATCAGCTTCGTCTTCCACGAGTTGTTCAATACTGGTGTGAAGAGTATCGACCCCTTTGATCAGGTCAAAGATGGGGATATCCGAACTATCTTGTACAATTCTTCGGTGGGTTTGTTACCCGCGTAACCGAAAACTGTTAAACTAAAACTTTTCCACAATGCAGGGTCAAACACCATCACTCTTTGTTGGCACGCAAGCCTTTGAAATCATTGTCAAGCAACAGATCAAACGACTGGAAGAGCCGAGTGTTAAATGCTGTCAGCTTGTATATGACGAACTTATTCGCATTCTCGGACAACTGCTACAGAAAATCGTACGTATTCATGCGACTGACGAACGTAATAAAGCGTTAACAGCACCATACAGCAAGCCTTCAGACGTTTCCCTGCGCTCCGGGAGCGCTTCAACTCCGTTGTAATCAATTTTTTCAAGACTGCGATGAATCCCACTACGAAGCTTGTAACCGACATGGTTTCGTGCGTCCATAACGGCAGATTTCATCTTTTTTCTACATTCTTATGCACTTGGTGACTAGGATGCAAGCATGTTATGTCAACACGACTCACCCCGACTTCCTTAACGGACACAGGGCAAGTACATAATATGACTTTGATGATCTTTCATGAGCTCATGCATCCTCCACAGGCTATGTCAATAGTGCAAGATAGACTGAACGCCAACAAGCCTCCGACACCAGTTCCAGACGCCAAGTCAGGAAAGCTTCCCCCGGGTCAAATCAACAATAACCGTGACTTGGATGTTGATATCAAGAAGGAGGAGCCGAGTTTCTTTGGCTCATTCTTCTCGTCTGCCAAGAAGGGGCAACCTAAAAAGGCTGGCCCCATCATGGAGGCGGTACGTCTTTCTCATATACCTGAATATATCGCATCTCAATTTCGCATTTCTTAGCCTCCAGCAGTGATTAGACCCCTGTCCGCTCTCAGCGAGAGGGAAACAATGGAGACTGAAGTTATCAGTGTGTCCCCTTTACGCGTTTCTTCCGTCGCACAATTAATTTGACCTCCCTATTCAGAGCTACTGATCCATTCATATTTCAACATTGTCAAACGCGAAATGATCGACATGGTTCCAAAGGCTATCGTGCTAACGCTTGTCAATCACTCGAAAGAGAACTTGCAACGCGAGCTTCTCCAAGAGTTGTATAAACCTGAAGTGCTCGATGACTTGATGAAGGAGAGTGACTTCGTCGTCAATCGCCGGAAAGAGGTTGTTAGTATGGTTACGGCATTGAACAAGGCTGAAGAGTACGTGGAATCTTCTTACATCAGACTTGATACTGTACTGATCAATTGCCATGTAGGATCGTTGCTGGTGTTTAGACACGTGAAATATGGAGGTTTCTTGCAGGTTCTTTGCATGACCTCAGCTGTGCTTATGGACTGACTACTACTATTATGTAATACCCTCTACACGATATGTTCTACCAGGTGTTAGACTTTATACTTCCTATTGTCACAGTTTTTGGCATCTATTGCCAGTGAGCACCAGTTGAACGTTATGTAAAAGTGATGGGTTTAGCGCGCTTGTCCTGCTGATCCTCCCTGGAGTTGTTCGATACGACGATCTTTCCAAAACTAACAGTCTGATCTACTTTCGATGGAATAAGCTACGAGGTACAAACGTTAGAAGCTTCCGTCCTCCATTACACTTCCGGGGATCTTCGTCTCATCTACCAGATTTATAATATGCTGTGCTTCAGCACTTCAGCCGAGGTTGAGTCGGAACATGTCATTCAGCCTGCAAATGATTTCTAAGCGAGGCCTCAGCACCAGGTTGATGAACATACACGTAGAATGATTCGCCCTCCTTTGCCAGCACAAATACCTGGGAGAATTGCAACTCTTGGTCTCCGTCCACCTACATCGTCTTCAGTGGCCAGATCACGCGATTGATCAACAAAAAGACGAACCCTTAGTAGCCCTGTCACGCTAATCAAGAGAGTACTCATGTCGAGGGATGACGGCTGTGCGTCAAATGTGCTGATCTTGTGGGCAACCTTTTCAAAAGGCAGTTCCTGAACCATACGAAAAAAACAGTGAGCGATATGTGTTACAATACAATCAGACTTACGTTCAGATGCTGTACGATGTTAGCTCCACCCTGGAACTGTTTGCCCTCCCATGTCAACATGGAGTGCGGCCGCTAGAAGTTGTTAAAAAGTGTTTGAATACCAAAAAGTTGCAAATACACGAAGTGCTTACATACAAAGGAGCCAGGTTCAGCCGGCCTAGTGCAAATTGTGAGTAGTAGAACTCGGTAAAATTCTTTGCTATAGCAGTAATATCCATGGTGTTCGAGAGCTAGGACACAAACGATTGCAGAGATGGTGGTAGTAGGGCAAAGTAAGCAACTTGCCAAGTATAAGTTGCAATCGATAACCCAAATTGGGTTATCAACGTTTCGGCTACAACACTCACGAGATGACGGCTGTTTTCCAGGCTGCGCTTCCGCCAAGCAGTCCGCCAATGACAGAAATATCTCGTCCCACCATGCGCAGGAAGAGCTCGGCGCAGAACTTGTTGTCGTCGTTTAAGACCACGAACGGCGCTGGCAACGCAGCAACGGTGGGCAGCATATCATCGGCTACCAGCGTCGCTTATACAGTTTCAACACCGACTGCGATTTCTACATCCGGCAGGGAATGGGATGGCCAGTCTGTTCACTCTGACACGCTTTCATCTAGTGCTACATTGGTTGGCACCGGCACACCGGTCATCGCGCAGGGAACCTCTGTCGAATATCTTCGAGATTTGGTGCAGAAACGGATTATCACGTTAACTTACATGCGAAATGTTCATGAAGGGTGTGTTCGGTCTGCCCTTGTATTTCTTCCTAGAGCTCATGGATACCCACAGGAGAAGTCATTGGTTCCATACAATCATGATGTCCAGGACTGAACTCGATAAAGCATTCAATAACTTAGTTATGCGCAAACGGTGCGGCGAGCCCCGGGATCCATTACTTATAGCGACTTTGCTGAGGTATCATCAAACAGGACATATCGATTTGCTATCCTTGCAATGTCGCTCTCAAATTTGTTAGATATACCTCAAGTTCAAGACTTTCTTCGCGGGCTAATGAATACCATGAACGAATATGACCAGGCAAGGGAGGAGCCCGACCGTCAGCCAAAAATCGTAAGCTTTTATCTGATAACGATGGGTCGTTCGCCACTTACTGTGGGTCCAGCGGTTGTTCCGGTCCAAAGTAGCGAAACGGCAAGCCGGTGGCGGTTTCGCTGAATATACAGTACCATATGCGGACGGATCGGAAACATCATACCTTGTTTCACCTCATATAGTGCGTTCCCTACGGGTTTGATAGTGTTTCGATCATGAGCTGAAACGTTCACAGCCATTTCCTTTAGACTATCACCAGACCCTTCTCTCCCTCCTGGATGTCATTTCGGAAGTATACAATAAAATATCGCGAATACTGGGCCCCTCACCATTTCCAAACTCTGGGCAACACATGATGGGACCTCTCGGGCTTCTCGCACCACATCCTGGTGTTTCGTATCTATTCTCTGGCGCCGACTCCAATGTGAAACAAATGGATGACGGTGACTCTAGTCTGTGGGGTATTGCAAACGTACACGGTGGTTACGGTGGTGCCCTTGGAAGCCCACCGCCTAGCTGGACGCCTGGGATGGGAGATATGCTCCTAAAAGTGGACACGAAATTCAAGGTAATAAATTCAGGATGACATGGAAATACGGATGTTGAACAAAAACACCACAGAAAATCACGTCAGCATTATTGAAGGAGTTAGACGAAGTCGCTCGAAACGGAATCAAGGATGAGTTAACGTCTCTTGACCCACTCCTTCGGAATGTTGCTTCACCCGACGATGGAAAAGAGATGTACGATTTTGAAGGCATTTTCTGACTCACTGGAATCATTCGCGGATTTAAATTGTACTTCTATATACCCACCCAACTTGCATGTAGAATAGTGTATCAGACATTCGTATTTCGTAGTTATTGTCGGTGCAGTAAGTACGTGACGTCAAAACGCGAAAAGTCACACAGGTCACATGTGGGATTACGCGACCGCAACGCGCTTGTAGTTGCCAAAACCTTTTTGCCTCTTTCTCTTTGGAACATTTGGACGAGTTCTTTAAATTTTAGCATCCTTCTATTCTTGAGATATTTTTCCTGCGACAAAGTTCAAACTCTCTCGTCCAACCGATCTTCATGCTCACGAATAACGTTCAAGCTCTCCTTTCCACAAATATCCCGGATCCGAGCGATTTCCCTATGACAGACTTACGACAACTGGATGCGAGTCTGCGATGCACAATTTGCGGCGAATTGTACGATGCACCCATAACGCTTGCCTGTGGGCACTGCTTCTGCTCACTTGTGGGTGTTTTACCCCTTTCTCATATACTGTCATCTGAGTGTTACTGGTAGTGTATTCGAGAACACATTGCCAAAGAATCGGAGTGCCCAAGCTGCAGGAAGTCGACGAGTGAAGGACAATTTAGGACAAATCCAGTTCTTGAGGCAGCAGTGAGTGCATGGAAAACTGCACGGTGAGTGCCACATCCTCCCTTGCGCAGACGCAGTTTGAACAAGTACAGATCAACTATCCTTAGGCTCTCTCGTGAAGAACAAGACCGCACCAGAAAGAGGCAAGCAGAGCGAACACCTCGTCGGTCCCAAACCCCGTTGATCAACGGTAAGAAGCGCAAGCGAAGTGCCAGTTCAGTGTCTTCCGATTCGGATGTCGTCATGGTTCCGGGTCCTTCTAATTCAAGCCAGTTTCCCTCATCCCCGGTGCCAAGTAAGTCCAAGCGTTCGAGAAGGCAAGACATGGAGCCTTCATCGGATCCCCAAGAGGAAGAGATGGTGCAAGGTTTGGGCACCCTATTATATTATGGCACAGCAATGCTTAATTCGTACACAGGGGGTCAGATGATAAACTGTCCTATCTGCAACGTGTCTATTGTCATGGGGGATATCAATACTCATTTAGACTCGGGATGCCAGAAAAAATCATTTAATACATCCGGTGCTGCGATATCAGGCGCCAAAGATGAATGGACAAAGTTATTTTTGAAAAAGGGAAAGAACAGGGACAACGGGTAAGCGTCAGTGTATTTCTGATCATAACGAACTGACAGGAACGTGGAGGCAGGATTGATGCGAACAGTGCAACGGAGCGCATACCTAAGGCCTCGTACGATCTATTGAAGGACAAACAAGTCAAAGATTTGTTGCACGCTCATAGTTTACCCATCCTCGGTGACAGGAAAACGTGGGTTGCTCGACATCAGCGGTATGTTACTTCTCGGCTCCAAATTAATTCCGCAGTTCTCAACGGATCCTAGCTGGGTCATGATTTTCAATGCCAATTTGGATAAGTCCGTATCTAACAGGAAGAACACGAAAGAATTACGCATCGAATTAAAGAATTGGGAAGATAGCAGAAAGCGAAGACATCTTGTGGATAATACGACAACTCACGTAGTAGGTCTTCCGTTCTTTCCATTGCTGAGAATGCTTATCGCAAGTCGTAGTTGAATAATCAAGGAGAGTTTGTACGGCTAATTGCCGAAGCGCGGAATAGCAAGGCTAGAAAAGAATCTAGTCCGACAGGCATGTGGCAACATTCTCAAGATGGTGACGTAGTCGCAGATTCTGAAGAAGAGGATCAACCACTTTCGTAAGCCAATTATCCCTATCTACTACAGATATGTATTGTACGTTGTATTCTGTCATGCTGTTCGGCAGCGAGAGCATGATGTGAAGACACCCTTGCGTTCCCGCCGGCTAGTCCAGAAGCTGTGTGGGTCGATTTCCTTTTTTTTGACCCCTCGGATTTGAGTACACAACCTAGCCCCGTTCAAGTGGTTCACTCAGTTTCGTGGGTGGTGTGTGTAGTCCAAAACAAGGTCCCTCCGTGGACCACCCTCATGGAGCACTTTCCCAACACGTGTCTAAAGTTTCTCGTTTGTGTTGTTGCAGAGCCCCGCTAAGCGCCAGTGCCACAGTAGCCTTTGTCCCAGTGGCGATTGGTCCACAGTACTTCACAATGTAAGTGCTTTGTCTAACAGTGAGATTAGTCTGAGTGGCAAAGTACTGTATATAAACCTGATGGACCCGTACGGTACTACAATACTATTCGGAACATGAGCAAGTTGACCCCACAGCTGTCGGTAAGCGATTTCACATCAGGTAGGAAATCTGGAACTAACGGAATATTATACAGCTTCTTAGTAATTTAAGCGCTCTGTCGGCATCAACCACAAGAGAGGTAAGTTAGAATGACATGCCAGGTGTCGCAATTGCATGACCTGACTTGTGATTCAGGAAGAGAACACTGCGTTTGTCACCGAGCAGTTTCTCCCCCGCAAGCAAGACGCCGTGTTTGGTGATCCATTTGTGTTCCAAACGTCAGCAACCAATCAACATATCCGGGCGAGGCTGATCTTGCTCTCACCATTCCCATCTGATACTGCTCCGTTGGCCAAATCGGTAGCATATCTTTCTAGTCGTTTTGGATCCATCAAGGCCGAAGTTGTAAGTGCCTCCCACCAGGTGGTCACTTGTGTGACCGACCAATGATGAAACGAGTGTATTTAGTAATTTTGGCTTCTTTAGTTTCGTACACATGGCGCGGAGAACCACTTTTTTCGCCTCCATATCTTCGCATGCTCAGCCGGTGTGAAAATCACATTACCCCCCACTTTCCGGGGCATTGTCTCTATCAACGACTACGAGGGCCTACGTCGTCGGAGGCAGATTCGTTGTGGTCGTGCCTTCAACGAGCGAATGCGCCGGGGATTTATCAGGCTTGGCTCCTGTGCGCTTGAAAATGATGATGAAATTTTCATTCATGCCGAGGGAAAGATCGAGTTAATGGTGAGAACGGAGTGTGATGTCAATGATAGGGTTTGGACTCGGATGGATCGTGGCATGCGAAAGATTTTGGAACGGCGGGTGGGCTCTGGACTGAGCTTTGGGCGCTGCAGGTAGATGTCGAAGATGCTATTGGTAGTACTTGCACTAGCGAATGTTTAGCGCTGTGTCCGATATGCCCAACATGAAACATCATGGTAGATCTAGCGAGTGATGGGCCACGTGTTCCCGAAGGGCGAGGCACGCGGACTACATTGTCGAACCGAAGTAGGCAGAATTATTCTCGCCTTCGGGTGGCCAAGCTAAGAATCAAGATTTCAAGCGCGCTTTTTGTTTACGAATACAACACTACCCAAATAAGGCATAAGGGAAACGATTCCTGGGTTCACGACTCCGTCTCGGTGACGTATAGGTGACCGCCTTCCCAAACCCTTAAATATGCAGAGCCTTGGGACACTTTCCCCAACTACTTCGTATCCTTGTCCCCCCCTTGCATTTGGTTTTTTCGTTCCTTACTGATCTAGTTCGCGCGTCATGTCAATTTATTCGAATTGTTCAATGGGATCCGACTCGGAGGTCAGTCTCATCCCTCTAAATAGTGTGAAATCGAGCTGAGGTCTGCCTTAGAGTTCATTATCACTCGAAAAGACTCGTTTATTGGTACATCACAATTCCCGCTTGATTCACGTGCAAGTAGCTGATTTATTACACAGAGGGTACAGCCATCTGGCACCCACAAGATTCACTACAACGCTCTAAGCGACTATGATTTTATGCTCAAGACATCAAAGCCCATCGATATCTCTCTGGCGCTACCACACTATCGTGCGCGTAATCAGCCAGTAGATCATCGTTTGGCCATGTTTATCAGTACCGAGACGTCACCGATCAAGCTCAAAGTTGTAAGTGTCACCTCTTCGCTTGCTGCATCATGTCTCAACATCTTATCACAATCACAGTGCCGTGCCATACCTCGTTGCAAGTTTTTCCTTGATATCCGAACCACCGCTTCCAACGTGACCGTTTGGTTGCCCTCGGATTTTCGAGGTCACATTCGTTGCTCGGGCACGCCATCTTTCTCAGCTGGTTTTGTCAACCGCATGATTGCAAATGTCCGCGTGAATGAAGCAATGTCAATGGATGACAATTGGGATTGTGACGAAGTATGGGTCGATACCTGCGGCCTGGTGACGTTCAGGATGTGGGATGTTCACACAAACGCTCCAGAAAGCCAGCCCAAAGAAACGTTGAAACGCATTTTTTGTTCGACTTCTAAGAAATTACCGGAGAGGAATTTTAATTGGGATTTTCTTCTTGAGGATTGAGAGTTGGGTTGTGTTGATTATTTCGTCGCTCTTTTCGCTTTCTGACTTCATTCGAACCCTACACACTTCTTACACGCTGACTGTTAATGGATTGGTCTTTAGGTTACCACTCTTTTATATCCCCAATGTAGCATGCTTCCATTCACTCAGGACAAATGTAGCCAAAATTTTATACCTTACTGCAAATACCACTGTATCCATATGATCCTCTCTTCGCACTGACAGACCGTTAGTACGCATACAACATTATAATCAATTCAATTTTTGATGTATAAAGTATTTGGGTATCATAATCATACCGAGATGGCTTGGGAAAGGCAACTATCCATAATGGTTTGCCGCCGGTACTAGAAGACGTTCTGGTGGCGGTAAGATAATCACATGGCCTTACGCACAATAACATTGATGCGGCACTTGCCTTGTACTAGTTTTGATCAAAATTAGCCACCCCGTTGAACGTAGTCGAATGTACTTTTGTAGACGCATGGAGTACATGGCTGTGACTAAGGACGATGCTCAGCCCATCAATCCACATGTTGTCCTTTCAAGGAAAGGCTGATCCAGCGCGTTACGTGTTCGCTTGCGAAGGCATATCAGCCTGAAGGCAGCCTGCCACTGGCTGAAATTTGAAGCGTTAATGTGACTCATGAGAATGCTCGGCTACCTCTGTTGATCATGTCCGTGTCGAAGTCGAGTTGTCGGAACCCCCTGGCGGCGCTCTCGGGATTCTTGTGATCAAATATATCTGGACGGCAGGAGTCCTCGAGCATTACCTAATTCTGCTCGCCATCACTCGTTGCAGTGACGGAGATTCTGGTGGGAAGATGTTTGGTGGCCTGGCCAAGGCTTTCGACAGTTTATGCCTGCTCAGACAAAGGCGTCCTGTGACGGGATGAACTCGGTCAGGTTAACCCTGACCGACCTACATCGTAAAGGGTTTCCCGGGTATGTTTTTTTTCGCAAGGCACATTACATCTCTGGAGAAACGTCCTCGCCGTGCAGCAACCCGTGGTTGTCGCTTTGGCCGTGCGAAGGTTGACCCGCAAAGACGGATCCAGTTCGGCGTCGGCGTGGCATAACTCTCTACGCCATAAACTTGAATGTGGGTAAGTCGCATCATGAGCAAGCCAATCATCGTCCTGTACGGGTCTTGTCAGTGGCAGATAAATTTATGGCTGACTGCGATTCGGACCTGGTACTGATTCTTTTGCACCGCTCTTGCTCTAGCGTGTTGAATTTACGCGAAGACAGCGGTGAATAACATCTCTCCCTTTCGTTAGCGTGGTTGTTTCATGCGGGTCCATTTTGGGGGCTGTTTGTCCAGTCCGCAGCATGGCACCATTGCCAATTCTTATCGGCATCACTTCGGATCCGCAGGCAGGTGACAACTACAGCTGGCCATGTCGGTCTCCAAAAGCTCTCCGTGTCTTTCGTGGTGCGCAATCTAGTTGTCGTCGTGGGTATTTGTTGCGATAAATTTGTGACGGACCACGAGATAACATGAGCGGTGATGATTATCAGACCGTCTGTCGACAAAAAGCTTTGTGATATTCGACCCCTATTTCTGAACATGATGAGAGAGCCCAAAGGAAACCTGATGGGGAAAGTGCGATGTGGGTTAGTCATGGTGAATCGCGATTAGTCTCATACAGGAATATAATGTACTGACACGATCACAAATCACTTACAAGGAGCAAGAGAATTGATATTCTGAGAATAATTGCACTGAAGTAGAACAAAGGCGCTACAATCCTGTAAGATAAGGCTATGGATACATCTTGTCATGTCATCACTCGAGGGAATTCATACTTGCTACAGGCTGTTAGGTCCTCCAACAGGCTCTAGACACTTTTCTAGTGTCTCCAATAGGGCAGCGTTCTCCAAAGCAGCGGCAACACGCTCCTTATCATTCAACTGTTTATTAACTAAGGCATGTTGTCAAAAGGGTATAGAAGGGACAAAAGATCGGCTGCTGACCTGCAAGTTCACTCTGATGTGATCCTGGTTTCACTCGAATATCCACTTTGAAACGCTGAGGCAAGCTTCGCATCAGTCGCACACGGATGGACAGCCCTGAGCAATTGGTTAAGATATATTCTTAAAACGTTGTAAAAGCACCCACCAATCAACGTCGACATCCCACAGTGAGGTACGGTGGGAGTAAATTCGACCATGATGTGATTGTCGCCGATTTTGATCTGCTCTGCAGATACTACCCTGAGTTCTTCAAGGGAATTAGGATGCTCAGGATCTGCAATAAAGCGGATCAAGTCTGTAACAATGTGTGTGATTTGAATGAGTTTAGGAGTTAAGAAGGCTTGAAACCCACCAAATATCTCATCCTCGTCAATAGGCTCCACTTCGGACTCGCTGCTGAGCTCGGGCTGGTACTGTTCGTCAATCCATAGTGACTGCCCTGCCTCGAACTTCGATTTTCTGGCAGAGCGTTTGGAAGCATAGACAGTTGGATTGGCGTTGAAGATTTCTCCGTTCATGGTAAGATGATTTATGAAGGATCTTGATATCCCAGCATTCATTCACATTGTCACGTGTCGTCGTGACGAAGTGTGACGCGCCCAGAACGCGCCAATACTAATTCCCTTTGCCTTTACCCTTTAAACACTTGCTCTCTTCCGTTGTCTCTCCAATCTGGCTTTCTTACTGAGATATGCCACCTAAAGCAAGTCTTGTTCACTCTCAAACTTATTCGTCCTTGACACAGCCAAATATCAGCGAAAACGTGCGGATGCGGACACTCAAGGGGCTCCTGCAACTCGTTCAACGCGAAGTTCGACGCGGACCGGTAGGCTCCCATAATCCTAATGACTTCAGTCCGACGAATTGAAATCCAATGTGGAGGTAAAGACGCCACGACAAGCATAGCCAGTGCTGGAGCTTCGTGCGTGCTGTCCTCCCACTACGTTTCGTCCCGATGATAATAAAGGCTATGAGCAGTGTTGGAAAAGGCATCTATGCGGATGATGTAGATGTGCGCCAGTTTGCCCGGGCACTCCTTTACCACTCACTCTTCTGCAGGTGGCTTCACCTCAAAAGAAAACAAGAAACACTGGAACGAAAGCATCATCAAGAGCAACAAAATCAACTATCAAAGGTTGCGCAAATACGACGATTGCGTGAGTCTTCCGGCCCTTGCATGCTGTAGTGAACTCATAGAAGGCCTCCTTACGCCCAAATTGTTCGCCACTTTCACGAAAGAAGTAATGATGATGTAAGCCTATAACAGACATCCTTTTCCCAACTTTATATAACGCCATTCCATCACTTGCAGAAACTCACCTCGATTAGGTGTCCATTGAACGAGTAAGTCTGCCTTTAGTTACACTTCAATCTTCACGGCCACGACGGATCAATCGTATCTCACGACTCAACCTTCACGTCGTTCACGACATTCCTTCATGCGCCTGTCGTCTTTGTTGTGCTGTGTCTCTAACACGCCCGCTCGCAGCGACGAAGTAGATGAGACAAACAAGGTGGCGGTACGTGCAACTGGTAACCATTGTTTATACTCTGCACGCCTCTGACGTCATTGTTGCTTCTCTATTTTCTCAGCCCAAGGAATCTCAAGAAGTCCCCACCGAACCGTACACCCCTCAGCGGGCGCAAGTTCTGTTTAACTCATTTGCCGATGAAGACGATAGCGATGTGATTGGACCAGGGGGACTGGAAAAATTATGTACGGAGGCTGACATACCGCTTGATGGTGCACAGCCCCTTATCCTTGCGTGGCAGCTAAAGGGTAGCGAAATGGCCAAGTTCACGAGGGTAGAATGGTCGCATGGAATGGGCTTACTTGAGTGAGTTGTCTTTATCGTTTATTTGTGCTTTGCAATTTCATAAATGAGTCCGCCAGAATCTCCTCATTACCAGTTCTAGCTCAAGCCTTGCGAGAGCTTGAAGACCTTCTTATTCGTGATAAGGAGGCGCTTACTCGCTCGGCTTCTGCCTCCAGTCAAGCGAAGAAGCGTGGCGGTGCGAGCACAAAAGAGCCCTACAACCGAACTCGTTACAGAGAGTATGCTTCTGACCGCAAGGCTGCTTTCGCAGATCTCTATCAGTTTTGCTTCACACTTGCGAAGCCACCGTGAGTTCTTAGCTATCTCCGAAAGGCAATCCTTTCGATAATCCATATTAGACAAGCACGAAACATCGACTTAGAGGTCAGGAGCCTTACGTCCGCGGCGAAGCATGTATCTTATCATTACAAATATAGACAGCTATGGCGCTGTGGTCAGTACTCCTTGCTCCACGATATCCAATAGTCAACGATCTGATCACCTTCTTGCCTGTACGTCGCCATCACCCCTGCCTTGGATGTCGCTAATCTTGATATGCAGGTGAAAGGCACATATAAAGGTGCAAACAAGGACATTTGGAATATGGTCAGTCCTTTCATCGCCAGGCATATGACGTACTCATACAAGATAGGTCCACGAGTTCTGCCGCGTTGTGGACCCTTCCTTGTCTAATTACGAGGCTGATGGGGTACGTTACATCAGATTCATACTACGTCGCAACCATGCGTATACTAAATCCCGTAGGCTTGGCCATCATTACTCGATGACTTCGTTGCATGGATGAAGAGCAAAACAGATGATGGCGCGGAGGCTGTTCCGGCTAAGGAGAAATAATGGTAATTGCTGTCATACATTATCGATTGTATGATGTCTACTCGATTGTTGGTACGATTGTCAACTGCGAACATCATTTAGTCATTCGTGACAGTAGTCAATACGTCTTTTGCATTTGTTGAGTCCTGCCAGTCCTCAATACGTCTTTGGACCCGTACCTTCTGTCCCGACTTCTCATGTTTACCTCGCATCTCTGCTATTTCTTTCTCAGCTGCTGCAATGCGGCGGAATGACGCGGCTAGTGCTTGCACTGATACGCGGGGTGCATCTCTCACGTCAGTAGCGAGGTGAAGCCTGTTCTGACTCCGAAGGTCTGCTTCAGCACGCTTCCGACGGAGATCAAAGCGCGAGGGGAGCTTTCCTGTGCGATGTGATGTTGACGGGGGAAGAACAGCAGCCGGTTGGTTGATGATATCAGGAAGAGGAGGCAAGCCCAGTGACGTTCGCACGTCTTTCCAGCGTCCCTGGATCAAGGTATGAGGACTGCGCGTATGAGGGTGTTGATCCCGAAGAGTTGCTTTCGAGAATAGCTGGCGTGCCAGCACAGCAGCGAACAGGATAACAATGATGATGATAGCAAGCCGAGAGAGTTGCTTTTGGCGTTGTGTGCTGTGGCCAGCCATGGTGTCAGTCGGCGAGTTGCCAATAAGCTGAATCGGCGATTAATTACCTCGACACGATAACTTCGAGATGCATGGTCAGCCGCACAATACCAATATCATATTCTAGACGTGCCATCTGGGCGCGTTCGATGCACGTGACAGATATCACTCTGACCCCTTTTTTCCGTGCAAGTCAAATGCTCATCGTGTATTCAGTACGACCAGTCAAACTACCGCATACTTTCCTGCTAGCCTACTCAGTAGTCAACTTCCACGGGCTTCACAGCTTGCATTTTCTCCATCGCCTCTCGGAACTCGGTCTCCGCGAATATGGCAGCTTCCTTGGCTACTTGCAGCTTCTTCTCCAATTCGTCCACTGTCATCGGCCTCATCTTGCCACTTTGCTCTATCATACCAATATTGTCGAAGCGGCGGAGGGTGTTGCCAACCCGAGGCATGAATATGTGACGATCCCAGCCACTGTCATTGAATGCAAGGACGGCACGTACCGCAGCTGTGTTGATGTCACGATGAAGTTCCTCGAGCTTGGACAGCTGCACTTCCATCCAGCGGGCTCGACGCTCAAGGGCGAGGGTCAATGCGGCAACTTCGTCTTCTTTGCCAGCTGCATCATCGCCGCCGTCATCTAAGAAATCATCACCCTTGAGCATGTCACGAAGCACGCCATCGAATGAAGAGCTGTCGTCCCACGTCGTCCGAGGAAGCAGGCGCAGGAGGTCGGAGATGGTCTGTGTCAGTGTCTCCAACAGTTGTTGGAATGAAGACACAGCATTATCGATGGAACCCGAAGGCATGTTGGTAGCAAATGATCCTCCGCCTACAGAAAGGGCAGACAATGCGTGCACTAAAGGACCATATTCAAGAGGCATCTTGGCAGCGGGATTGATCTTTGCTATGTCAAAGAAGGGATGGTTGGGAAGATCCATGCTCGGATTCCTCACGTCAATGTCGTCGAGCAAATCAGCAAGTGAGGCAGGTTCCACAGGAGAGGACGTGTCCACAGACTGCGCCCTCGAGTTGTTCGAGCTAGAGACGACTGTATTCGTGGTCTTGGAAGGTGGAAAATTCGCAGACTCTGAAACCGAAATCGATGGTGCAGCCGACGCATTTCCAAGAGCAATCTCATCCTCCTTCGTGATCTTGATTGGACGAGCGATGGGTTTGTTCTTCTTCGGCATCTTGGACAGTATGGGTGCTTGTTCCACGGGTTCAGATGCCTTAGATGGAGCGGGGGATTGCTTGGCAGTCGGAGTAGCAGGCACCTGGCCAGAAGAGCCTGCAGACTTCGTGGCTTTAATCGCTAATGCAGACTTGGCGGCTTTTTGAGCCTTGACCTGGGCTGCCCTTGCTTTTTCAGCTTGAGTCTTCTCAGCCAGGGCTTGCCTCTCCTTCTCTTTTATGAGAGCTCTCTCCGTCTCTTCCTCAGCCGCTTTCTCTTGTGCCTGCCTCTCCTTTTCCACCCTCTCTACTTCCGCCCTCTCCCGTACTAACTTCTCTCGCTCTTCTTTCTCCTTCGCCAGCTTCTCCTTCTCCACAGCCTTCTCTTGTGCAATCCGGGCTTTCTCAGTGGCCTTTGCAGCTGCTTTCTCCTGGGCTGCCTTCTGGCGCTCGAGCGCACGCTCCGCCGCTGCCGCCTTTTTTGCCGCCTTGCGCTCTGCTTTGGCCTGTTCCTTACTACCTTCGGCGGGAGATGATGTCTCGGCAGGCTGTGCATCAGGCGTAGGAAGTACATCGGCGTTCAGGGCGGGAAAATCAGCAGACGACAGTATCGGGACTGGCGAAGGTGAGGACGAAACTGAAGGAGTGACTAAAAGCGAAGTTGGCGAACGAACAGATGGTTGAAAGAAAAAGAGGAGGGAAACAACCGTTAGTCAGCATGCATCTAACCAAGGCTAAAACCATCGGGGAGGGGAAAAGGAGGGGACAGAAGGGGAGAATCGAAATAATGTTGGCCGAATGCGAAGGTCCCGGAGGCTCTCATGGCCTGTGGTAGAATTTGCGCACTGCAAGCACGGCTCTCGGTACTCTGACCTGGGACTCCCTCCCCTGAACAAAAGAAAGGGACTCACTATTTGGGTATGCTAGGCCCGGCGGGGGGCCTTGTGTGGCTGTAGTAGCTGATGCTGTGGTCGCAATTACTGGTGTACCAGCATACGACAGACTTGCGGAGGATAATACGGGCGAAGCGAAACGTGCTGACATGATTGCGGGGTCACTGAAAGGCGCAAACTGGTACTGAGGTTGATCTGAAACTGAAAACAAAAATGCAAAAAAAAACATAGACAGCATTGTCATACAAGAATCATACACGTGAACGACAATGAATCAAATTGAAGAGCAAAGTGAAGTGAAATGAAGAAAGACAAAATCGTCAATGCGCAGTCTAGCGGCTTACACAAACAGAAGTCTCCTACCAGCTGTAGCGTTATGCATTTGCATCGAGCCGGCACGCTCCCTGCTCGACTGGATCAGCTCACGGAGCTGGGCTTCACTCACGCTCACACTCGTGTCGAATGGCTGAAAGCGTGTCAGTTGTGTCTGTGGCTGCGCGTGCTGCTGCGGAGGCGACTGCACTATCTGCGCTTGCTGCACAAGCGGAGAACTGGTGGCATATCCTGCGTACTCTCCATGTCCTCCATGACTCCGATGCGACGATGTCATGGACAGGAGTTTCCGAAGCCGTGAAAAACGAGTGATGGCTATCACTCGCACTCAATGGCGATGCCACGTGAACGGGCGAGCTCGCAGCTGTTGAGCCTTGCCTCCCCCGTGCGAATCCAAATCTTGAAACTTTCCGTTCTTCATCGGGGTACGACGGCGAACTGCGCGCACCACCACTAGTCGAGGATCCTTCTGTTTCTCCGAAGGGATTAAATGGCCCAAGATAGCTCTCACGCATCGTGAGGGGGTCATAAATGGAGCGGGCGGGGTTATGAGGGTACATGGTTGGCACTTGATGCGTGTGAGAGTGTGCTTGTGGCTTGAGCGCAGGGAATGCGTCCATAAAGCTACCAGCGAAAGGTACGCGAGCCTCCGCTTCAAGCGCATTTAATACTGCCTCTCCTTCCGCATTTACATTTACATCTGCAAGCTTTGGGTCCAGATTGAAATTGAACCCACCCTCGCTCCCCGAGAGCATACGCAGCGTGCGATCAAAATCGGGAAAGACGCTTACTTGTGTGCTCGAAAGCACCGCCTCGCGACGCGCTTTGACGTCATCAAGTAGCGCTTGTGCAGCGGTGGACATTTGATAGCTTCCTGCAGACATTTGTAGTGCTTGAAGACCTGACGCAGGAACAGACTCCGCCTTAGCTGTACGAGTCGGAGGCGGGAGACCAGGTGGGGCATCTGGTAAACCTGGCGGCAGAGAAATAGGTACAGCCGGTATACTGTTCACACTCTCCGTGGAGCGTGGGCGCGGCGGACTTTGTGGTACATCCTGACTACCGGAGCCTACATCATCCGAGTCGACTGCCATTGACGGTGAGGGCGAAGTCGGCGGAAGCGGTGCTGGTTCTTTGGCCCGGAGAGTCTTGACCTCAGGTGGTGTCGGGGGACGCGGGGAGACAGCGGGCGTCGGGGGCCGAGACGAAGACGCGACGGAGGGTGTTTTCGTACTCCCTCCACCGCCTGAACCAACCTTGCGATCATGCTGTGGGCGTGGTGTACGCGCCTGCCGCTGACCACCACGCCGGGGACGCTGAGCAACTGTTGCAGTGGGCATCGTGCTGCTGGGCGTCGGAGTGGCAGGTTTAGCCCATGCTGCAGTGCGCGGGAGGCCTGAAAGAGGTAATGCGTAAGTAAGACAGGAATAGTTGCATGATCACGACATACCATCCCCAGTTTTGGTCCCCCTGCTTTCTGTGTCCTTGATAGTATGCTTCCTGGAAATGGGTAAGACATCATAAAAACGTTTTGAGAATCCACACGTACAGCGTTGTCAGATCCTCCTTCGTAAAACAGTCTTTCTCATCTCCCCATTCATGCAGATTCATACAGGTGTGATCAGTACATGATACGCCACGGAGGAACGCCATGCAGTACTTGGTCGTCCCATAGCTGGCACGCATGACCTCTCGGCCTCCTCCTGGGCTTGGGGCACCGTCAACGGTTGAGATGCAACGTGCGGCATCCTCGCGCCGATGATACGTAATGTAGAGTCCTACAATAGGCGCACCACCCCCTGATGATGTACGCTTGACAAGTAGAATCTTGGAGATTTTGCCATATTGCCCAAAATAGTCATTCGAGCGAAGGGTGGGGATGAGCTACGTCGAAGAAGAGGATTATTGGATGAGCCAAGAATTGATTAGACAAAAGTGTAACATACCTCCTCCTTTGCAAATCGAGGACCAATACCGACGACATATACAACGTTGCGCTGTACGACGCGGACATTGGCGAGATGGCGCCTACCGAGGGCGTCAAGTTCTTTGCGCTCGCGTTCACGTTGCTTCTTCTGCTGGGTCAGGCGTTTATGGCTATAACACGCCAGGAAGGCCTATATTGAATTTGTGAAGTAAATTGCGAGGGCGGGACGCACTCTTCTTTCGCAATAGGTTTGAACTGAACAGTTTCGTCGGTGTACTCACGGCGACAAGCAGGACAGCGGCCGTTGAGATTCTGCTTGATATGATGCCAACAGAATCTACAAATCTACATGCGGCTGAGAACATTTACCTAATAATTGATGAACGAGAGAATGTACCTGGTACCCGCAGACGCACGGCTTAAAATTAAGGTCTGAAATATCCATCTCTTCAAGACAAAGCGGACAATCTGCATCATCCTGGGATCGGTGGATGAATAACGTTTTATGTGATCATTAACAAAAAAAAGTAGACTTACGGCGTCATCGTCACTCCAATACGCGTCCTGCACACCGGCGAGGACATGGGACTTGGACTGGTGGGCGGAGAAGCCAGCGTGAACGACGGGGGCGGGAAGAGACGGGTGATGGTGCAACCTGGTTGTAGACATCTTGAATATGTGCAATTTAACGTGCTCGTTGTGTTAGACGACGACGAAGGTGATGACAAAGGGTTGAAATGGATGAATGAGTTGCGTTTGGGGCGTTGAGCAAACGCGACCATTACAATGAGGCTGCAGACTTTTCCCACGCTCCATCTATTGTTAGTTGTTTGTGTTGTGGCGTCCCGAAGAGGAACCAAACTAGGTGGCAGAGACTGACGCCACTGACGCATCTACCGGTGCGATTCAGCCTCGAGCACACGATGACTTGACATTGGTATTCGCATAGCGTGTTCCTCTTCCTATATCCAATTTATGATAGGTATTATCGCGGCTCCAACTTTTGTTTCTTCAACCATCTAACAAGTGCTCATTTCGTCATATCCAGGCTTTCATATATGACCATGTTTCTTACTTCCAGAGGGCGAATACATCAATGTGTGTGTGCTCATAAAGCCTCATGCAGGTCGCTCAGGTTGTTTAGCGCATCTGGTCAAATGTGGAAAATTGTATTGGCCTATCAACACTGAGCGCTGAACCTGCTGATTCACCATTCTGCCACGCATACTGACACCATACAAACAAATTGCGAAGAGAAGATTATATTATGCTTGCACGTCTATGCCCATGCGAGGAGTACTTGGTTTTCAATCAATCTGTTTTCACTGCTTATGGGTGATCCAATCTAACAGGATCTAACCTCCGCATTGCCCTCCAAGGGTTCGATTTGCCTGCTTAAAACACTATTTGAATTGGGCAAGGCAGCTCTCGGACAGGTCGGACCCTTCTACTTCTGTTGGATTTTCTTGATCATGGTGAGTCTACGCTCAGACACCACAGGGCCCATCAACAGTTCGAAACTCGACAACTACGTCGATTATCTCGGCATTCAGGAGTTTTAATACAAACGTCATCGTCTATGCCTCTGGTCGTATGCGATTTCGTGTGGTTTCATATCGAAACTCACGTCTAGGTTTGTATATTGATTAGTCTGCTGCAGACCTGCGCACTTCCAGTGAATTTGCTGGAGGTACGATATGCATGGAAGAAATGATCAAAGAGACAATTGGATCAGTGAAGAACATGGCCGATCGCAACCAAACCGTGGGTATATTTACACAGTATCATTCCGAATTTGAAATAGGCTTGTTTCATCAAGGTTGTCGAGAGAGAGACAAGATATTTACCGTGATACTACCTTTAACGCCCAAGCAATTTGCTCCACGGTTGCCGATTCATACATCGGAAGGGTTGCAAATGTGATATACATGCATTCAACAAGCGTCAGGTTGTTTCTTCAATCACCGGTGGTCGGCGTTGAAAGCTACGATTGGCAAGACAGTCCAATTTTCGCGATTGGAAATGGACACAACTACTGACTCGTCTCGCATCTGTTGATTGTAGACACTCGAGTTGAGGTGCATTCCCTGTTTATATTTCGAAGTGGTAATGGACGGATGACTCTTGGCGATGGATGGGACTGACATATTCCAGGGCTCCTGAGTCGTCGAAAATACAAAAATTCTGTCTGTGAGCTGGTTGATCATAGCCAAACGGACAAGGTACTAATCCCCAGTTTTCTCCAGCTGAGAGCTGGAATCTCAGCCGCTGGACACGATGCCTACACAACAACAACGCCATGGAGTGAAAGCAAGGCAGGCCTCCTGCCAGCACCCGGTACTTAGAAGTCCAGGAGTTGTCATCATATCATTTTTAACAATGACAATGACATCCTTAGGGATGCTGCAGACTGTCGCCGTGGAAGAATGGGAGAAATACTGTGACGTTGGGTGCCATTGATCAACTAGCTGTAAATCCCTAGTTATGAGGAGAGTTCAGGCCTAGGGGTGGTGACCCTCCCTTATGCCAGCTCATTTAGTCGCAGCCTAAGATGGTTTAGTAAGCAAAAGCTTAATAACTTAACGCGTTAACGCGACGCGCGTCTTAGACACGCGTTATTTTCGACAACCTCGCGGATTCCGGAAGCAAATTTACGAGGTCAAAAGTAATTCGGACAAGTTCGCTTCAAGGGCTTTTTTTGTGCGGATATATATCGAAACTGAAGAACAAACAGTTGTGTTATATGCTTGCTAGACTTCAAGTTCATTGTTTTATTCGACCGACTCGAATGAATAACTTGAAAGTACAAAGGACGCACTTGCCCCGACACGTGTCAATGACCGCCATCAAAGCTCGCATTCAGCCTTCACCAATACCTGTTCTTAATAGCGTACCTATCTCAAGCCACAGCACAAGTCCAGAATCTATAGTCATGACTACAGACAAAAAGCACTTCACTTCGAAGCGGTTTGTAGATGCACCCATCTCACAGCTATCCAAGGCTGGAATCAGACATGAGTACGTCCCATAGTCTTCGATCCCCCACATGCTGACGTCGCATAGGTTTCTTACAGATGTACAAGGTCAGTCTCATGCACACTGTATAATGCAGCTGAGTTGATGCAGTAGCATATGCCAGATGCCACACTTGAAGTGGGTGGCATCGATAATCGGTCTACTAAGCTGATGGTTGTACACTGTAGGATGCTTTGTCGGGCATCGATCTCCTCGTGCAGGCCAAAACTGGAACTGGTGTGTAGTATGATTAGATTGTTCACTCCCAGACTGTTGAACCCTACGCATAGGTAAAACTACAGCGTTTCTTCTCCCTGCCATAGAGCGGCTTGCCTCCTCCAGATCAGCTTCCTCCGACGTGGGCAAGATTCTTGTTATAGCGCCTACACGGGAGCTGGTGCTTCAAATCGAGGAAGAGGCAATGTCCCTTCTTGCACACCACCCATACGGTGTGCAGTCTGTTATCGGAGGTACAAAGTGGGCATTCTTTTCCATTCTTTGCCGCATATCATGATATATATTAACACTTGCAGCATGAACACAGAAAAAACTCGTCTTAACTCTCCCACCGCTCGCGCCGACATCCTAATTGCCACTCCCGGTCGGCTCCTCGACCATCTGACTTCGGGGCTAGCCCTCCGCCCAACTGTGCTCATTCTGGACGAGGCAGATAGGCTACTCGATCAAGGATTTCGCAAGGATCTAGAACGCATTCTGGGACTCTTGCCTGATAGACGGGGAACAAGGCGACAATGTATGCTATTTTCTGCGACTTTTGACAATGCGATCAAGAAGGTGGGTGGGTTTTTTGTGTAAGAATAACAGGCACTGATCGTTTTGGGGAGTAGATTGCAAAGATTTACCTAGATCCCAATTATAAATTCATATCTACGCTCCACGCGGACGAGATCAACACACACGAACATGGTGTGTGCATCTTTTCCATAATCTATCAATGAAATAACAAAGTGACACATCTGTAACATAGTTCCCCAGAGTTACCTCATAACGCCCCTCGAAGATATCCTTCCGACACTTGTTTCCCTCCTCAAGCAGGCGGGTCCGCAAGCAAAAGCAATGTTGTTTTGTACGACGGCACGTGGAACGGCCGTTGTCGCGAGTGTCTTGCAACAAGTGTCTGCTGGGCCACAATCTATGCTTCCCCCAATCTACCAGATCCAAAGCCGTATGTCACAGGCCGCGCGTACACGCGCCGCACAGGAGTTCCGCGATGCCCCAGAGGGTGCAATTTTGGTTACCAGTGATGTGACTGCAAGAGGGATGGATTTTCCGAGGTGGGTCTCCTATCAAATCTCAAAGTATCCTCAGTCCCTTCGTTGGCCAAACAATCATGCTGTTGTCTGATCATTTTTCGTTGTTCTGTTTTATTTCATATCTTGCCCTGCAGTCTACTTTCTCTTCATCGCAAGGTGTGCTGACATTATCCTACAGCGTAACACACATCATCCAGCTTTCCCTCCCTAGCTCGCCCGCACAATACATTCACCGCCTCGGCCGAACCGCGCGCGCAGGGGCTGCTGGTGAAGGCATATTAATCCTCATGCCGGATGAACAGTTCTTTTTACGGCTGCCAGAGATCGCCTCGCTTCCGTTAAAGCCCTACACACAGCTTGAACATACCGGTAATTTGAAGTTTAAGTTGGATGACCGCTCCATCGGTCAAGCATATTCCGCTTGGCTTGGGTTCTACAAGTCCTGGCTAAAGCAGCTGCGATGGTCACCTACGGAGTTAGTGGAACAGGGCGCGGTATGGGCGCGGTGCTTAGGGTGGCCGAGTGTGACGGAAGTCGGCAGTGGACCTGGTATTCCTAGTGGTGCTCCAGCGCAAAGAGGCGCAAGGGGTGGAAATGCAGTGGCAACATGGATCCCGCCACCTATCGCGAAGCGCACGGTAGGAATGATGGGTCTGCGTGGAACGCCGGGGCTGAATGTGGTAGATCGCCTGGACGACGCGGGCGATGGCCCAGCTCGGAATGCGGGAGGAGGGAGACGTGGAGGGGGAAGTGGACGCGGACGCGGGAAGCTTCCAAACGCAGAAAAACCGCACACAGAAGGAGCGAGCGATAATACGACTGCGCGCACACAAAGGATCAGAAGGGGCAAGGCGAAGGCGGGACAATGAACTTACCCAATGGTTTATATCTCTTGGGAAGAAGTTGGTAATTAGAGTTGTTGGAGTCTGACATCGTGCCTATACCTCAATGCATCGTTAATCGATTGTCTGAATTCAAACTGCGGTGCTGAACGACTCAAATATATGTCGCAGTACTGGCCTCCTTGAGCGAACGAATGAATGAATTTTAATCTAACCATTCACGCTCACATAAGCTCAATTCCACTAATAGGTCACGTGCCATGTAGCCAGGCGCGTATGTCGCGTCTTACAGTAACTCTTACTCGATGCTCTCAATTCGTCCTATGGCTTCAGTGTCACGAAAGCGCGTTGCGGCTAGTTTGGTGAACTCCAGCTCTACAAAAAGGCGGAAGATCCAGGCTGAAAGGTACACCATTTTGCAAGTACTTCAGATAAAGTATAGTTAACTTCAAGTGTTTGTAGTTCAACGGTCACTGTCGCAACAGTCGTAGAAGTATCATGTCAGGGCAGTGCACCTGACATAAAGACTGTTATAGAGAACTTGGAACATGAGACTATGGGAAGTTCTTGGAGGACTGTGTTAGACAAAGAATTCATGAAGCCGTATTTCCAGAAGGTGTGTCTTTACTCATCCCCTCTGGTAATATCTCCTCTGAGTACTCCATTCGCTTCAGCTCAAAGAATTTATTATTGCGGAGCATCTTACGCACACCGTATACCCAAAGCGTAAGAGACTTATCTCGTTTGTGGATACGACGTTACAAAACTCTATATAGTGAACGATGTCTACTCTTGGTCACGATTGACCCCACTTGACTCTGTGAAAGCTGTTATATTAGGCCAGGTGCGCGTTGCGTAATTTTATACGCGTTCCATCACTTACCATGGCACTCGACAAGGATCCATATCATAATGTTGGACAAGCACACGGTATGTATATTTAGTTCACTAAGGATATATCTAATACAATGGTTTAGGGCTCTCTTTTTCCGTTCTCCCTCCAACTAAGCTCCCTGGCTCCCTGAGGAATATTTATAAGCAACTTTCGAGCGACATCCCTACTTTCAAAGTCCCCGTGTCTGGGTTTGTCGTAGCACTAGCTCCAAGCTTGCAAATCACTTACTCTTTACACAGGGATCTGACGCCTATGGCAAAGGCTGGAGTTCTCTGGTTGAACACCTGCTTGACTGTACGGGCGCATAATGCCAACTCGCATTCAAAAAAAGGCTGGGAGACCTTCACCGATGCTGTTATCCGAGCCGTCCTCGACCGACCGGATGGAAGAGGGGTTGTCTTCTTTGCCTGGGGTTTGCCTGCCCAAAAACTATACGACAGACTTGGGATTGACGAGGTGCGTGCCAGCCATTTACTATTTTGTTTGGGGGAAGCTGACTCAAGGCCGAGAAGAAAAAACATCTGGTGTTAAGGTACACTTTGACTTCCTTCATTGATCGACACATTGAAATTATGTCTCAGATCTCCACATCCTTCTCCTCTTTCAGCTCATCGGGGCTTCCTTGGAAACGCTCACTTCAAGAAAGCCAATGAATGGCTACGGAAGACACACGGAGAAGAGATTGATTGGGCAGCTCTCAATTCTGTTCCACCTTCGGATGCAGTTCGCCACATCTCAACGACATGAATGGTAAGGAATGCAAATGCAATTGCTACACAAAACAGAATCGTTGCTTAGATTACATTCATGTAACAGATCCTCCTCATCGATGCCTCTGGTTGTTCCAAATCTGACTTTGCCCACCGATTCCAAACTGTCCCATATCAGGAGGGGCAAAGAATGCTGGATTGGATATGGGAAAGTTCACAGCATTGAACGGCGATTGCGCAAAATTCTGATTTATCATGGGGAACTGTGCTATAGACGAGGCCGGTGTAGCAGGAACGGGCGAGCGTGTTGTGTTCGGTCGTACGCCTGGCTGGGGTGGGGGTTTCCAGTTCTGACGTGGCCAATCAGTATTGTGCGGAAAAGAAAAGAATAGTAGCAAACACTTACATATTGCTTCCCTTCACGATACAGCTCGTCCAGCTTTTCGTCAAAGACGCCACGCTCTTCAAAATCATGATAAGCTTTGTACAACCTAAGCGCACTTCGAGCGTCCTCGATCGAATCGTGCGTGTCAGTTTGAATGTGTTCATGGAGGACGAACCAGGACAGGAAACGCAGTGATAGTCGTCGCTGGCGGTTATGCAGAAAGTACAAGTCAACTGTGTCTATGACTTGCTCTGGGGGTACGAATATATCTGATCATGACGACGGTTAGTAAGTGGTCCTCGCTCAAATGCTGGAACATACTGATTATGCGGAAATCTTTCGAGAGTCCATGCCCAATGAATATACATCCCCGGTCGACAAGCACCCTGAGCTTTTTGTACACAAGTTTTAAAGGTGTCAATGTGTACCGCGACAAATGCGGATCAAGGTCACCAACTGTCACAATGTCAGCCATGAAAAAGAATACTGGATTACACTTACATTTGATACCAGAAAACTCAGTCAGATAATCGACAATGACCTCGCTCGTATGGATATGGTCGTCGATGAACGGGACACCTTCTTTCGGACCATCTCCCCTAAGGACGGACACGCGAGCAAGACTGAGCCGTGCAGGGCGGATGACACGGTTGGTACCATCCGAACGGTACTCTGTTTCTTCCTGGCACGCGAAGATACATAAAGACAGCCCAACGGAAATTGTGCGCAAAGCATACCTGCTGCATGGAGACAAACTCAGCATCAATTGCGACAAGTGTTCCGGGTTTAGGGAGTTCTTCAAAGCGGAGACACTCGTGCTGGATGATATTCTCGTCGCGATTCCTATGCGCTAAAGATGAAAAGAGTGAAGCTGTCACGAAATGAATGTGACTAACACAGAGATAGAGGTATCTAGGCTCAATATCGACGGGTCCAATTGGTCTGGAAGGCCGCTGTAGTCGAGCCGTTCTCGGACATCGACACGCTCAAAATATAAGATAGCCGGGACCTGCTTCATCTTGAGTTTATTGGTGCACGGAGGAGACATCATAATTGACCTTCCACGTGCTTGGAAAACTCAACGCTTCTTCTTCTGATATGTTACGCACAACGAAATCGTTGAAAAGAAACCAGGCACTCTTGAGATTCGGGCGGCCCTCCGCTTCAGGAACTGTGTCGTTGTCAGTGGGTATTACGTTAGTAACAACTATAATCAAAAGGCCCACCCTTAACAATCGCAACGAGATGCGAGTGTCTTTCTTTTGTCATAATTTGCACTACCATGGCCTATATACCAAAAATAAGCGCAACAGTGACAAGTAGAAACTTTAACTCACTCTCAGTTCATACACAACCCCCGTTGCCTCATCCACTCCATCAACCTCGCCTCTCACCTCCACTGATGGGCTCAAAAATCTCGACTGCCTGTTGTCTAACCATAGCTTCATATTATCTTCGTTGTAGACACTTGCATTGACCGCAAGTATAGGCGGAAGCTCCGATGAAGGTATTGAGCGTCGGGAACTGAAAGCGCCAAATTGCTTGCACGTCTGACATGTTGCCTTATATGTCATCTGGCGAATCAGGGAAGCGCGGAGGATACTAGCGAAGTCTGTTGCAGGAGGGGGATCTGAAGGTGTGAGCTGATTACCTCCGTCAGGATCACAAGCTAGTATGCATATGAAGTGTCCTCACTCTGCGCGGGTAAACCATATCGACAACATGGGTCATGTTCTCTTTCTCCCTCACAGCCTTGCAGCTCATACATGTGATGACGTTCTTTGCGTCTATACCGAGGAGCTGTGTAATAGGCGCAGCTGCAGGTGAATGGGTGTCCTCCTGGAATGGCTGGTGTATGAGGCATGGATTGTGTGGGAAGGAGTTCCCTTCAAGCGACAGATGGTCAACGAGGAAACGATGGAATGACTGAATCATATGGGCATAGTCGACTTCAGTGGGCTCGCGCCCGTAATCGATCAACTCGATCTGGTTTTGACTTTGAGCTAGCACACCAACGGTCTTGCAGAAGTTCCCTCCTTGGCAGTTTGTGCCGCCCGCATCCTCGAGCATCCGTGCCACAAAACCGAGCTCGCACAGTAGACAGTGTTCTCTTGGACAATTGGTTGTGATATGTGACTTAGCGAGGCGCCGTATCGGAAGCGTGTAGTGCATGACCTGGAGCATTGAATTCGTGTAGGAATTGAGGATATGTGTCTCAAGACCACTGTACGGTGTTTTATTGTAAAAGCTGCAAAAATATTAATGAGAGCTGTCAGAAGTGAAGATAGAGGGCGCGCGCACCCAAAATCGAAATCCTCCACCCCAAACTTCGAGTATTCTATTTCTACCTTTCGATAGATTCTGGGTACCTCCTCGACGCTGTCGTCGATGCTTAGTGCTTCCAGCTCGAGCTATGTCCTGTCAATTAAGCATAATAAAATAATGATCACACTCACATCATCTCTTTTGCCCTTTCCACTTCTGAACCGCCCTTGATCTTTGGCAGTAGTCACAGGCACACGGTTCCTCCGCCCACGGAGCTCCTTCGGAAGAGCCGCGTATGCAATATTTTCGTTCATCTTCATAGTACTTAAGACCTGCGGCGGGATTTTAGGCGGAGGTGGACTCAAGATTCCAGAACGCGGAAGGAATTGTGGTGTCCAAGAGGAAAGCAGCAGAGTGTTGTAGTGTGGCATGCCAATAGAGTTGAGGGGTCTTTGGTATATTGAAGTCAGTAAGGGGTATGAATGACGAAAGATAACTCACATAGAATCTGTCCAGTTGATATCAGGGGGTGCTTCGGGAGCATCTGCCCATTCGATGGGTTGGCCTTCGAAACCATTGAAAAGTGGCTCTGCGTCCTCTGCGATGGCTGTCATGAGGTGAATGGCACCGAGCGCGTCGCCAAAAGCGAGGAACGAGCCGTTGGACGACACAGCTGTTGAGCTGATGTAGGATGTGGTCTCGAGCTGCAATACATGAGCGATTAAGTTTTGGGAGTATTACTAACATACCTGATAAAACCCGGAGACATTACTATAATCAGATACGTCGACAACGTTCACCAGACCCTGCGCAGAGGTAACTACGAGGCTAGAAGAATGTTTAGGTAGGATGTCAATGAAGGCAGGACCGTCTTGGAATGGTACGGGAGGGAGAGGGCGCATCGTACGCAGGTCATATACTTTCACCAGGGGATCAGGAAAATCGTGACCGCGTCTGCAACGCATCAGTGGTATTTACATACACAGATCAGACGGTGCTAACCTTATACTCCACCCGATTGTGTAGAAATAGTTTCCACTCGTCTGGAGGTCTTGTACACCACTACTATGTGCTAGCACTGAGTGCTCTCCGTTCTCGCGCAGAAGCGCAGTGCGAGGGTCATATGCACGGACGTGCCCATCCGTGAGCGCTGCAAGGAGCGTGGAATGTGAGAACTGGAGGTGTGTCGCGACGGATGAGGAGGTAGCAACACGGATGGGGTTGCCTGTCATTGCATTCAAGAGGACAAGCTCAGGTGTAGTTGTTGACGCTGCAAGGACATTGGAAGTATACGTATTGTTCGAGAACGCTGTAAGAGTAGAGGTTGATCTGCAGCTTTCATGAAAGGATACACGGCGTAGTATTGGAAAATCACGTACCGAAAGAACCACTTGTTCATCCCACCTTTGGCCCACGAGCCGATGCCTTCACCTGCAGCACCAAGTGCCCTAACATAGTTGTCTCCTGCCACAATCTGCTTGACCGGAAGAGCACCGCCAACGGGGAAAGACACGGCACGGAGGCCCTGCATCGTGTGCAGCGCAACGACCGTGCCTACACTGGTCCCGGACCAGAGCGTGTCAGAGACGGGGTCAAAGCTAAGGGCAGTGACTGGCTGGGCATAGTCGTGTAGCGTCGCAATCGGGTCTATCATGTGGTACGATGTCGACATAGTGCTGTAGTCGTGTACAAAATTGATGTGGTCGCTGTTTAGATCGACGAGCTCGCGGTACATCAGGAAATCGGGGAGATGATGTTTTTCCTAGATTTATTTGGCAAGATCAGAGCAAAAATCCACCGGATTATATGCAAAAACAGAACTAGACAAAGCGATACATAAGCATAAGCACATTGCGGGATATTATATGACAACCACAATTGTGAGGAGAATACATCATGTCTTGCAATGATGATCCTTGATAGGCAGAGAGCTACAAATGCTTATCACAATGACAGAAAATGAATAAAGTTTTGCAATGCATAACAATCATGATTACAGCATTACAATTTTGCTATTGGATTGCGAGCCTACCATACAAGTTGCTTACATTGTCGCGCTATTATAATTGTGTCCAAACGTACCCAACCATTGACAAGGTATTATAATAAGTGGGATCTTGTTGTTTCGTCCAACTCCTCAAGTAAATAGAAGCGGTTAGAGGAGGAAAAATAAATCTTATCGATGAGACATCTAAATTACGCCTACATTCAGAGGAAAGGAATGTGTGTATGTATATCAATCAATAACGTAGTAACATCAACTTATTTGGAGGCTGTCCGGGTTGAGGTGGAGGAACAGGCTTGAACTCTGCAGGCCCCCGGGGTGACAGGGACTCGAAGTTTCTATATATGATCAGGTGATTAGGAAGCGCAGGGATCGAGATGATTCCTGACTAACCGGAAAGCATCAATTGCAGAAGTTCGTAAACGACGCGTTTCCTCTCTTCATCGTAGCGGACTTCAGTGTAGCCCTGAAATGGTGATCCTATCATTACGATTAGCGGGTTGTAGTGGTAGCCACGCACCGATAATGGAAAGTCCTTTCGGAGGGGATGACCCTCGAAGCCTGAACAAAAATATCGCCGCAAGCAAGGTTGGATAAAGCTGTAGATTATCATGCCCAGGACTACGATCCATACGAGCATGAAGAAGATACCGGAGTAATCGAGGTCTGAGTACGCAGGGAATAAGTAAGTGTTGATAGACGAGCGTGCTCAAGACTTACTGTTGAACCATGGTCGGGTGTAGAAGCGGGACCAGCTTGAGTCAGAGTCGGCGCGAAGGGCATCGGGGAGTTGAACGAGGTTGTATTCGAGGGAACAGGATCCTGTGTGATTGTTATGAGGCTTCGTATTTCGAGTACTCGATGGTGGATCAAAATCAGACCTTTCATAACGTATGGATCGCCAGGGCCATTCCATCCCTCACAAGAGACCTCGACTCGACCGAAACGTAAAGAGGACGGCAGGTCCGCCTCACACTGCAAATATTATTGGATGACAAAGCCCAGCCCGCTCATTGCTGACCAGCGTCTCCCGCCTGCCCGCCTGTTCGCCGCTGCCTGCCAGTATGCAGCCGTTCTTAGAATACTGCATTTATGTTCCGCCCCAAGTCTACCTTATGACAATGCCATGCCCGCTACCCATCTCTCTTATCTGTTGGATGCCCTTGGAGTGAGGTTAACAGGTTGCTGATATCCGGGTCAGGTGGCATCATGGCTATAGTGGTGGCTGACAGAGATCGCGTCGGTGTGGTAATAACGGTAGGCTTGCTGAGATCGCATCAGTGTCGCTGACGGCGGGTGGTAGACCTACTCTCCTTTAAAAACACAGCGAAGAAATAACCGTCATCCTCATTCTTTCCCAACGGTACTTCATTGAACAACCCGCAAGCGACCTTCATGAAATGAGCGAAAACGGGAATCGACATGTTGCGAACCCATGCGGTCTTTATGAAATGATTTGCAGACCTAAAATAATGGTGTATGGCGACTTGGACAAGATATCTGGATACATATGCGCCACTACTGATTAAGATCTAGACAAAGGGAGCGCATATAATCAGTTAGGCTCCATGAAGCGCTGAGACGCAGCGAGAGAAATAAGTGACAAACGTCGATGACTTTGTCGGACATGATCTTCCCTCGTCCTAAAGCCCAAAACATAGCATCCATGCGGCCATAACGGTTGAGAAAGTAGTGGGCTCGAACGTAGGGGTCTTGGGACACATTGTGAAAGTGTTTGGAAGTGAGCGTTAAAGCGGTCGGGTCGTCGAGCTCGTAGAAGATCAATTCGATGACTTCATCTACGCAAATCTCAGGTTATGAGTGAGAAAAAGAATGATCAGAAAACATACCACACAGGCGTTGCATGGCGTGTGGTAGAAGGGTTCTTGACTGCGGTAGGCAGAAGCTTGAACTGCTCAGAAAGAGCACTAGTCGCAAGTTGACTCCGTCCAAGGAACCTGACGACGAGGATTAGGGACTTGACGGGGTTGGCGTTTACGATGATGTGGTTGGTGTCAAGAGGTGTGCAGCCGGAGAACGCACTTCATCGGACTTCTAAATTCAACCACCACTGCATCTTGAAAGTCAAAAAACCTTGGCCAAAGCGATCACAATGTTCCACAAAATATCGTATCATGAAGTTTAAGCTGTTCAGAGTGAAAAGATGCGTGAAATGGCAACGTTCTACACCGTTACAGGCGCTACATTGTGCTAAGTGGCTGTAATCACGTGGTATGTCAGGCGCATGATGTTGAAACTCCGATTGAAACAAACAGATGCCCCAGACCCCAGAGTCCGCCGCAGATTTTGGCCCCAGTGTCCATTTCCTGGATGTCCTCACTGATGTTGATATATGTATAGCACTCGACTCCGTTCTCTTGTATCTGTAGCATTCGTCTCCGTTAATATGTTCTCACGTCTCAGTCTCATCTGAATCTGTACGATACTTATGTCTTTTCGCGACTCGTCTCGGTTGATCTGTACGATACTTGTGGCTGTAAATCCAATCGATTCGCATGAAGTACGGCTCGAAAAAGCGACTGTAGGGCTCTGCCGTGCGCGTTATCACAGAGCGTAACTGTGCGAAACTTCGGAGTGTTTCTCCCAAAAAAAGCAAGAACTAGTACATACAGTGTACTCACGCCGCCGCACAAACTTCAATTGAACTATACCGAAGTCCAACTGATTATCGGATCTATACTACATCGAGTCCATGGAGCAAAATAATCAATTCAATAACGCTCAAGCACAAGGTGACCAATTCAGTACTCAAGCAGTGAGTAGAATAGTGATGATATTTTGCGCTTGATCTAAAACTTTACCTACTAGAACCTCCCTGACTTGGATCATGCAGTCATACCGGGGCCATTGATTGTCACCCAGTCGGCAATTGTATGTGGTCATTAAAAATCGTATGCTAACGGTGAAGGACTCACGAACATGATGCAGTCGATTTGGAGGACCGCCACACAAGCAGCTCAATCCGGTATGAGCCAAAACCGCCAGCAGGCACAGATCCACACAACAGAGGAAGAAAGGTGTTGGTTGATTTTGATGGCGTTGCGAAGAGAACAAGAGCTGGATGAGACGACTAGATGGCTGCGTGACGCCTGGCGGGAATTGGATGAAATTAGAAGCCTGTTGGGGATCGCAAGAAATCAGTAACGAGACTCGGTACGAAGTGTAGGCGATAAACGAAATGTTCGGATGCTTGCGTTGTTGACAGTGATAGAACCTACGCGAAACATACTCAGATGATTCAAGGAGCGATCTGTAAACAGAACAGAACGAAGAGTCGGACAGCGCACCAGAGACCATCAACATCCAGCCAACTTCGACGATGCCGTTGTTCTAACGCATCTCCAAATACCAATAGTGTCGGCAACATTTCTAATAACAACGCCAACACCACTGCGAACGCCAACTCGAACTCTAGATGGTGCAAGGAGCGATCTGTAAACAAAACAGAACGAAGAGTCGGACAGCGCACCAGAGACCATCAACATCCAGCCAACTTCGGCGATGCTGTTGTTCTAACACATGTCCAAATACCAATAGTGTCGGCAACATTTCTAATAACAACGCCAACACCACTGCGAACGCCAAATCGAACTCTAGATGGTGCTGGATCAGCAAGTTCGTCCGCTTGATGTGTCTCCTTGAGAATCGAGGTGGTTACCTTGAGCATTTGGAGTCGACGAATGCAACGAATGGTGCTGCCTGAGCGCAAGCTTCCATGCTAGATTGAACTGGTGCAGGGTGCGGTCAGTCGTAACACACGTGCTACATCTACCTGGCTTACTGATCTTGTACGCCTGAATTAAATCACTGTTCATAGACAAATGAGTAAGTATTAGCAACAATCGGATCGACCCATACCTGATCGCCTGTTAGGCCGTGGACGCTTGGACGTGCTAACAATCCTCGCACGCCATGGAGTTATGGCGTAAACGTGCGAAGGCTGCTGAAGCATCAATGTTGGGACGCCATTGCATGCGAGGTATAATCGCAGCTGCAGTCTCGACAATGTCTGGGTTTGTTGATGTCTCTAGAATCCAGCGAATACGTCAGACTTGGGAGTGAATCTGATTGTCTGGACCAGTCAAGGCACTGGCTTCGAAATTTGAATTGAACGAACGACTCACCCTTATCGATTCCCATGCCAAAAGCAATGGTAGCACAAACTATACCATTATCTGATTCCATAAATTGCTGTTGGACACGTGCACGCTCATCGCCATTCAATCCGGCATGATAGTACACCATTGGTTTCATTCCATGAGGGCGAAGATGGCCGGCAACCTCTTCCGTATGTTTCTGCAGGGTCACATATATGATTGCAGGTCCGGTTCGAGATTTCGAGAAGGGAATAAGAGTATCGAGTTTTTGATCTAGAGTATTTGCGACTTGAACTTGCAAAGCCAGACTAGCATTCAAAACTTTTATTAGTGGGGATAATGGGAACGCGAGAGCACTTACTTTGACCGGTACACTGGGGTGCGAAACACACCTTTCTGAGTATCAATGAAGAATGATTGACAGATGTCTTCTGCCACATTTGGAGTAGCGGTTGCCGTCAAGCAGAGGACACGTTCTACATCCATTTCCTCTGCAAAATGCACAATCTACAGGTCCATGAGTGCAAACCAGAACAGGCGCACGGCATGCTTACTTTTAAATACTCGGGCCGAAAGCTTGCACCCCACTACAACCCGCTCATGAATGACAATCTCGTGCAAATTATAACATACCAGACACACCTGCGAGATACAATGCGACTCGTCAATAGCTAGCAGTGAGATTTTGACACGACTCATCATCGTAATGAATCCTTCATTATTCAGCCTAGAAAAGTATTGTCAGAGTGATGCATGAGTCGTACATAAATGCGAACCTTCCAGGAGCCACATAAAGCAGTTTTAGACGCCGTGAGACAACCCCTTGTTTGACCCAGGCTGCCCGTTCTGCGCCCAACGTGCTGTCCAGGTTTGCAGCTTTCACCCCACGATCGACCAGAGCATCGACCTGATCCTTCATCAAAGCAATGAGAGGAGATATCACCACAGTCAGTCCCTGTAATAATGTCAGTGATGTCACACTCAGGAAATGTAACTACGTTACTGGGTCTGCAGGTGGAAATATTCTATTCCGTCTAGCTTCATTTGCCTCTCTATGCCGCGCTCTTCAAGAGCCTCTCCTTCTCGAGATACCTTGTACGAGTTAAGCCACTGTTTACCCAAGACAGCTCCAAACGCGGCCAAGACGCTGAATGTGAGGCTAGCATAGGAAAGTGATTGGATCCAGACAGTCGAGGAGGGAAATACTGTAGACGACGAAAGAGTGTTGATATCAGGTACGGAATTCGGGCCATTAATAGTTAGCTGGATTAGATACAGGAGGAGGGCATTGGTAGTGTCTCCTGGATTAGGCTGCATTCCGATGATGTTGACGGCTGAGAACAGACCAGCCTAATACTCCTGTAAGACTAGCACCGAGAGACGTAGAAAGAAACGTACAAAGGTCAGAATAATGCCCATATCGTCATTGGCCCGCTCGAGGAAGTCGTCGTCGTACTCAGTCGAAACTTTCTTGTATGTTGCCCAAAACTTTGAATCGTCATCTTTTCCGCGTTCTTCCGCGATATTCGATCCTTTAAGGACCTCGAGAATGTGCCCCAGCGGATCTGACCTGTGACAAAATATAGTCAGACGTCAAGTGTACGGTGCTGGTGAGTAATATTCACATATTCTTAGCAGGGCTTCCTTCGATGGACACCGCAGGATTCTTGTTCGCATTATCCAAATTGATTGGCCATTGTCCAGGGGCTGCTCCAGGGTGTTTGACCTTGAAAACAATATAGTTAGACGTCGTGTTTGCTGTGCTGGTTGGTTATTATCTACATATTCTTAGCCGGGCCTCCACGTTCCTCGTTCGCATTATTGGGAAGCAATCGTTGCATAACCTTCCCTGATATTCCCATTTGACGCACGAGTGGCCAAGCGGGGTGCTTGTGTGTGCAAGGGTTTCATGTCGGGCACCGACTTCTTCATACGTAGAGAGCTTGCAATCTGCGATTGTGAGGAAGTCGCAGAGAGATATGCAGATGGGGCACGCGACAGGATCACAGCCTGAGCCCGTTGAGTCTGATGATTCAATAGTCAGGAACTGACTAAAGCCTTGGTATGTAGGGAAGTACTCACCCTGTTAGGATCGATGTGAGTTACGACGGCGTACCTTTCATCGCCTTCTCCAACCGAAGTGATACACACCCAACTCCTGGGCAATCAGGTGAACGACCCTTCTCTGCTTGGGTGAAAGTGTCCTCGAAAACGCGAGTTCATCCCTCATTCTGTCGCCCTTGAAAAGTAATATGCGAGAATAAATTTCTAGAGTAGAAGGATTGTTTAGATCCAGTTCATTAGGGGACGAAGACTTCTCTGATGGATTTGGTGTCGCGGGGCAATTGGAGGGGATGTGGCGGGGTTAAATGGCTGAGAGATTGGAAGATGAGGTATGGGCGGAGGTGAGTACTGTTGTCGTTGATAGGCACCAGAAGAGAAGGATCGCTGCGGGGTGAAAGTGAGGGACGGGACCAAAATCATCATATGCTTGTTGAACTGCCTGTTGTTGCTCCTTTTCGAGTTGCATGGAACACATTCGCCTAATAGCCCTTTCTCTTTCAATACGCTCTTTTTCTCCGGCTTGAAGAACTTTCTTGTACTCAACACGAAGCTTACGGC